CATTAAAAAGAAACTAAAGATTTAATATTCAAGGGTTTTTCTTTTCTTTTTTTTTTACATCACAAGTATAAAGAGGATAAATCATCCTGCTCATGTAGCCATGAAAAAAAATCTGACAACCTCTCTTTTTATGATACCCCTCCCTCTTTAAATCCAAGTATAAAATTAGTTTCCTATTAAACTTCCATTCTTTCATTAATTAGCTCAAGCCCTCACCCCAATTTATTGAGTGTTTATTAATGGATAATCTATAGAAACCTCTTTTCCCATTAGTGATCATCCTTGTCTCTCAATAATTAAATATTAAAATCACTAAATATATACAACTTATTAACCAATAAAACCTATAACAAATATAAAGACATATATGATTTACAATATTTTGTTCACGGAGAAGATTACAACCAGAATTACCTCAAACCCTCAATATAAAAACAGATGACTCTACTTCATTTTTCTGACAACCTGCTCTCACATCATCCAATTTATTCCAGATTCTGATAAAAGTCACTTAAAATTATTCTTTATATTTCTCCTCAATATAAGAATTAAATTCAGTCTCTTGGGAAGTAAGCTAATTGGCCCTTTTTCTTCGGCCTCACTTTGATAATTATAAAAAACATTAATCCTACAAATGGAGAATAGCTAAAGACATTATAGCATATGAACATAATGGAATATTGTTGCTTCATAAGAAATTACAAAAGGGATGGTTCAAAGAAACCTGTGAATACCTGTATAAATTGATGTAGAATGAAAGGAACAGAACCAGGAAAACAATTTATAAAATAAACAAAAATATGCTAAAGGAAAGCAAATTTGAAAGACTCAAGAATTCTGATCAATGCAATAAGCAGCCATGACTGTAAAGGGCAGATGATGAAGCAAGCTGTCTACCTCCTGACAGAGGTAGTAGAGTCAAGGGGAAAAATCAAAAATTTTTAGATATGGACAATGTATGGATTTGTTTTGCTTGCTTATAAATATTTTTTGCAAAGTCTTTATTTTGCTTTTTACTTTTCAACTTGGGGGGAATGGGAGTAGGGTGGAGATTAAAAGAAAGGGGAAAGTAATAGGCTTGCCAACCCAACCCACCCCTCCCAGTCACTATAGTATTTAAAAGAAATTACCTAGAAGAGATAAGAAGAAAAATCAGAAAGTAACAAACTGGATGGCTGCTACATGCTGAACTTCTTATATAAGCTTTTTAAAAGCAAGCTATATGTAACGAGAAACTTCCAATTTCATATAAAAATTATCTTTTTCTGTCCTACTTTGTAAGTGAAAATGATTACTTTTGACGTTTAAGTGTAACATAATTTTTTTTATATGAGGCAATTGGGGTTAAGTGACTTCAGTGACTTTCCCAGGGTCACACAGCTAGTAAGTGTCAAGTGTTTGGTCTGAAGTCAGATTTGAACTCAAGTCCTCCTGACTTTAGGGCCAGCGCTCTATCCAGTGTGCCACCTAGCTGCCCCTCATGTTGGCATTCTTGAAGTGACAGTTGAGAAATTTTTTAAGAAGTGCTTCTCCCTAAGGAGTCAGCAGGAAGGTGATATGTTTTATATTTGATCTCTGAGGAGCTCTGAGAGCTTTGTGGAGAAGACAATTAGGGAAGAAAGTAATATGAAACTTCTTCCATATCAAAACTGTGGTAAGTGATGTGTTGCAAAGAAATCTTGTAAAAATCGAGGCGCTCACAAATACTGTGTATTTTTAAAAATTTTTATGTTGGGTTAGCTAGGTGGTGGAGTGGATAGAGCACTGGCCCTGGAGTCAGGAGGACCTGAATTCAAATGTGTCCTCAGACACATGACACTTAGTAGCTGTGTGACCCTGGGCAAGTCACTTAACCACAACTGCCTTAAAAAAAAATTTAAAAAAAAGAATGCCAACATGAGCTGTTTTCCTAAACATCCTGTGATCTTAAAGAGACATTAAACAGTTTCTGTAAGACAGACTTTTTGAAACATGGATTACATTTATACAGACAGCTCTCGATTTAAACAGATTGTTCAAGCAGACCATGACTTAAAGATATGTTTACATAATGCAAATTCACTAGACACACAGGGGCCAGGGACAGAGAAGCAAGAGCAGAAGGAACACCAGGAGTGGGGAGGGCTGACAGACACGTGGGGGACTGACACAGACACAGAAAAAGACAGAAGAGAATGAGTGACAAGTTGGGGCTGTGTAAAGGTGAAGTACTTGAGCATGAAGGGGCAGAAGAATGGAGGGACGAGATATGTGGGCAAGTGAGCAGAATGGAGCAAAGCTTTTGCTCTCTTCAGGTCTGAGATCTCCTGACGAGTCCCTGATCAGGCCACAGTGGTGGTGGTCTCTTTCCATCTGTTCTTCTGTTTTCACTTGAAGGATTTTTTCCTTAGTATTTTTTGGTAGGGGCTGGGAGGCCACAGCATGCCAAGCCAAGGGGCAAGAGTAGACAGAGAGAGCACAGTGACAAGAGAGAGTATAGTAAAATTAACATAAGTAAGTTTTTTGGGAATGCAGGTTTTTTTCACAATTCTTTTACATAAAATCAAATCTGTGTAATGCAAATTCACATAATGTTTAAAATGAGTGAAACCAAACCCAACTGACTCAAGGGTATAAAAGGAAAAGTGTGCCCTCTCTAAATTTTCTTGTATATATCATAATATAGAGTGGTAGCTGGGTCAGCAAGACCTAAGTTTAAGCTACTTCTGACATTTACTAGCTATATAACACTGGCATTTAACCTCTAAGTGACTCAGGCAATTTCAGAGGACTCGTCTACTAAGTTAAAGGCAAGTAATAATTTGGAGAGAGTTCCTCTACCTTAAGTTTCATATAATGATGAACTTCCAAATTGTTTGCATATTCATGTATCATCATATGCAAAAAGATGTGCTGGGCCCTCTTATTTCCTCTACACTTTTTCTCAATACTCTTAACAGCTCCTCCCAGTAAAAGTATCATCTCTACCCTGATGAGTCACAGATTTACATTTTCTATGCTAGTCTTTACCCTGAATTTCAGGCCTACATCACCAAAAGCATATTGGATGTTTCAAACTGGATGTTCTGGATGCTTCTTAAATTTAACATGTTCAAGAGGTAATTCATTATCTTTCCCCAAAATCTACCCAACTTCCAAAGGTCCCAATTTCTGTAAAGGGCATTACCATTCTTCCAACCTTTCAGGTTCATAACCTAACCTATTATCCTGTACTCTTCACTCTCCATCCTGCACCCTCTACCCACCCCCCTCCCCACTGAAAATCAATTGCCAATTCTTATCATTTTTACTCTACAATACCACTCATATTCAACTATTTCTCTCTTCAGGCACTCATTATGACTGACCCAGATTATTTCAATTGTGTCCTAACTGGTCTCACAACCTCAATTTTCTCCCCACTCCAATCCTACCTCCACTCAGCTGCTAAAATGATTTTCTTTAAGAACATTCAGAACCATGTTACTCTCCTACTCAATAAACTCCACTTGGTCCCTATTACCCCTAGGATAAAATATAAATTTCCATTAGGCTTTTTTTTTTCAAGGTGGGCCTGGTGTGTTAGGAATGGGATTTTCCTATCTTTCCCAGGATGGAAGTGCCACTCTATGTCACTACTGATCTGCACAGTTTTGATCTGCTCTACTCTGAACATAGGCTGGTTCACCCTTATTAGGTGGCCTTGGCTTCTCTTAACCCTTCCCCTTGAGTGTGCTGGAAGTAGTCAAGATCCCTGATCAGCTTAGCTTCTACTGCATCTCAGAACTTCTGAGCTCAAACAATCCACCATCCTCAACCTCCTCAGAGCTCCTTAGGTACAGGTGGTAGAAGAGATTATGAGTGTGCACCACCAAGCCCAGCTCTCTGTTTGACTCTTAAAGCCTTTTATAACCTTTCACAATAAGACTCCTATTTTCTTTCCAACCTTATTCGCCAAAATGGGTTTTTCTCTATTTCTCACATGACATTCAATCTTCCTTCTTTGTCCTTTTCTACACACTATTCCCCAGGCCTGGAATGTACTTCTGTTTCACCTCTACCTTAAAGTATCCCTCACTTCCTTCAAGATACAGTTTAAGTACCATCTTCTATATAAAGCTTTTTCTGATTTCTCCCAATTGCTAGAACTCTCCCTTCCTCTCTTGTATTTATTCTATACTTATTAATAATGATTCTTTCATTCTTTTTGTCTTCCCAGCACTTAGCACAGTGTCTGTCAAAAATAATAAATGCTCATTATTTGATTGGTTGATCATCACTAATATACTTCTGTAGAGTACTTACAATTCCATCTTATGAATCTTTTGGAATATGTACATTCATAAGAAACTAAGAAATGTGATATGAAAAGGCTCTTGCTTTAAAGGACAAAGCTGTAAAGAACTCTCCTCAAGGCAGAGATTAATGAGAAAGAGCACTTAAGAGAAATATATATGATACAGTATCAGAATATGTGGTCTGCTAGCAATTTCTTATCCTTCATTTTATTAATAATTGACATAACAATAGATGCATAATAGTGAGGGACAAGGCAATATAATAGAAATAACGTTACAAGTGAAACGAGAAGTCTTCTTACTAGATTTATGAATTTTAGCAAGTCATTTAATGACAGTGACCTTATTTTTTATTTGTAAATGGAAATACTACACTTTACCTCATAGAATTACTCTGTGCTATTAAAGTGAGATACCTAGAGGGGCAGCTAGGTGGCGCAGTGGAAAGAGCACCAGTCCTGGATTCTGGAGGACCTGAGTTCAAATCCAGCCTCAGACACATAACACTCACTAGCTATGTGACTCTGGGCAAGTCACTTAACCCCACTGCCTAGCCAAAAAAACAAAACAAAACAAAACAAAGTGAGATGCTGGATATAAAGGTCTATAAATAACAAACTATTGTTTTTATAGGTATAAAATGTTTTGAGTTCCTTCAAAATAATTTTCTTAAGAATTAGAGAATTACTAATGCTTATGTGGAAACATGAGAAATCATATTACCTCTAACCAGGCCAACATTGAACACATGATGAAGTCCCAGTCACCATCCACCAAAAGAGATGAAGAATATTTCAGTAATATGGAAAGTAAGTGGATTATTTCTATATTTAAGCCAAGTAGTTGAGGACTTGCTTCTTTCAAATTGCTGCACCAAAAACACAAAGGATTAAAAATATTCTGAAGTGGCAAAAAAATAAAGATAATTCATTTCAGCCTTGCCATTAGCCTTTTGATTTAAAGGTCTATGATATTGTTAGTTTAACAAACTATGGTAAGAAATATACTTTATATGTAGAAAAAGAAGAAAATTATAGTATAGTGCATGACCTACCAACTGAAAAGAAAAATATCTTCATGGTCACTCTTCCATGACATTATAATTTTTAGTATTCCATAGAGTTTCTCTCTACCATCGATGCTTCCCTTTTTCAGACAAGAATTCAAAATGGAAAGATATCCAAAACTTCCTAAAGCAAAAGCCAATGTGAAAATGATATAGCCATTATGGAATAGGACATCTATTCTTTTAAAGGATCAATTTCTTCTCGAATGAATAATTATTATAAGAAATCTAAAGAACACTTACAAAAGCATCAAACAACTTCTTTAGACTTAGGGATAGAAACTAGACTTGTGATTTCACTAGTACAGGGAACTCCTAAGTGAGGAAACTCCTACTACTAACTCAGGTTAGCACCTTCTCTGCAACTTAGTCTCAGAGATGTAATTTGAATCCAGTGTTCCTGACTTGCAGGCTGGCTCCTGGCTCTCTATTCTCTACACCACAGGTTCCCCAAGTGGGCCATACTGCCCCCAGGCAGGTGCTAGAATGAAGACAGGAGGGGGGACAGTAGTAGTCTGGGGTGATACAAATTTCAAAAAAACCCAAAACATTCAAGGGTTAAAGAAAGATTGGGGGGGGGGGGAATCCCTATACCATGGTGACTATCAACTTTGAGAAAAAATATGAAAAACTGATTTAGCCAAGCTATATGCCTTTGGTATTTAGTTCCTCATCTGACAAACTAAGAGGGGAATGTATTAATTTTTAAAAGATTTCCTCTATTTTCCTCCATCCTCTAAACGTCATTTTCCTTTTTATCACCACCTATATGGCAGGCATAAAAAAAAATACTTCATGGTGATTTCTAAGCACAGTAAATGAAATTCAATTCTTATTACACAACCTAAATAGCTAATCAACAGGATGGAGAAACATTGAATGGACTGGAACTATGGTGTAAAAAGGAACACAGAATGTTGCCCTTTTCCTTCACGTGTCAATAAACAGTTAACAAGGGAAGAGATGAGTTAAGCTTAAGGACACAGTTTGATACAGTGAGAAATGTCTTAAACTAGTAATCAGGAGACCTATACATTTAGAGCTAAAATACAAAGTTTAATGCTCTGAGAAGAAGCATCTATATATCCAAAAAAGAATGATTAAGTTCAAGGTACTGCTAAGTGATCACCTTGTAAGAGACAGGAAGAAAATGGTAGTGGGTGGTTGATAACTCATTACTGATGGGAAATGAGGAAGCTATTTGTCAATTAACCTGACTGCAGGATCAGAGATCTTCTGTCTTTCCAGAGTATGTACTCATGATATAACAGAGAAGCTCTCAAAAGTTGTCAGAACAGATGACTACTAACTACTTTTGATCATTCATACAGGTACAAATGATCACTAGTCTTGCAAAGAGGAATAATAAAGTATTATAGGATCTCAAGGAACCAGACATATATTGAAGTTCTTGTGCCAAAAAGACAGCAGCTATTAACTCCTTGATCTAAATTACTGATAACTTCATCCTTCAGAAGGAAGAGTAACCAATGAGCAGAATTTTTTTCTGTTTGACAAACTGGGGGGGAACTGATGAAAATTTTGAGGGAAGTTTTCAACACTCCCTTCCAGAATTTGTAACAGAAAAGAAAGCCAGATTGATATATACCCTAGATTTTCAAAGAGCAGATTTCAAAAGGTTCAGAGGAAGAATATGTAGAAATCTATGGACTAAAATTCTACTGACAAAAGCTGCCCAAAAGTGATGGGATGCACTTGAATGAAATTCAGAAAACAAGGAGATGTCTGAAATGACTGGTGAAATAAATACACAAAAAACTCACAAATCAACCTAGATTTTTAAAAAACTACACATACAATGTGGAAATGAGAGCAAATAACAGAAGGTAAACATAAAAGTGTGGAATGATACCATATAAATATCAGGCAACTAATGTGATAAATTCAGAGAAGCATGAAAAACTTTGGACAAACTGATAAGCAGAATCAAAAGGACAAAAAGTACAATGATTACAACAATGTAAATTAAAAGAATGCTAAAAAGGAAGCTGAAGTGTGAGTAAAAATTATGATGGTCCAGGGAAAGAAGTAATAAAAAGATACATCCTTCCTTATGGCAGAGAAGTATGGAAAGGAGGAAGGCTCTATTGGGCAAAATACTGAATACATTGTCAGACGCGGTCACTGTGTCAAATGCATTTGCTTAATTTCTTTATGCATTTCTTTGATATGAGAGAAGCTGATTTTTCTATTTCTCATTTTAATGGATTAATATAAATAATGCCTTACAAAATATATACGTAGCAGAGTGCTAAAGTTTAGAATGAACTAAGGCTGGCAAGGAAAGCCAAGGATAACAAAAAGATGGTTATAAGTTTTTCATTTTGTTTTGTTGGGGGGGGTAGAATTGTACTATTTAATTGGGGGAAAAGAAGCACCTCAAAGAAGAGGTAGGACCATTGTTTGGGGATGGATAAAATGGTAAATGACAATACAAGGTAGAACTGCTCAAATCTAAATTTACTTCTCTGCCAAGAAGAATGACCTTTGAATGGTAAAAAGAAAAAAAATGGCTAATTGAGGAGATAATTAAGAGAAAACCTCTTTGCCCTTAAGGAATTCAAGTTTCCTGTCCCAGATGAACGATATCCATAGTACCGAAACAACTGGCAGATGTTATTGCTGAGCCAATGTCAATGATATCTGAAAGATAGTAAAGAAAGGAAAGGGCAATGTGGGATTGACTGGAGGAGCCAAATGTACTGGTTTTCAAAGAATGGAAAAGAATAGAAAGTGCAAAACTGCAGAACGGTTTGAATGGAACAAATTCAACAAAGTATTATTAAACAATTTATAGGAAAGGAAACGGTGATTATAGAAAGCAGCATAATTTCATCAATAATGTCATGCCTTACTAAACTTGTTTCCTTTTCTACTAAGTTACTAAATTATTAAATCAAAGCAATGCCTTAGTTTGCCTAGATATCAGTAATGTATTTGCTTTGCCATTTTTGTGAAAAAGATGTAAAAATGTAGTAAATTAAATGGACTAAGAAATGGTTAAATGGTCAAACTCAATGTGGTAGGACTAGAAGTGAGCAGAAATAAAAGAACAATTTATACAACAACCACATATAAAGAAAAACAGCTTTGAAAGACTCAAGAACTCTGATCAGTGCAATGACAAACTATGACTAGAGTGCTGATGATGAAGCACATTATTCACTCTTGACAAAGAGGTGATAAGCACAAGGTGCAGAATGAGGCATACATTTTTTAAAACTTCTTTTGCTTAACTATGCTTATTTGTTAAAAGGGCTTGGTTTTTCTTTTTCTTTTTCTAATGGTGAAGACTTGGGAATAGGAACAAGGATGAAAAAAGGAGGTCACTGGGCATTTTTCTTCTTTAAAGAAAGAAAAGATAACAGAAGGTGAGAAAGAAGCAAGCTGGACATGAAAGTTACAAGTTAAACTAATATACTTAAAAGAGCAAGACGTACTTAGCAATCTGCAGCTTTAGGTACTATCTCATTTTCAGCTTTACTATGTAAATGCAAATACCCATTTTATTTGGTATCTGCTAAGTTAGATAGAATAAGTCAGAATAAGTTAGGCAGTTTAAATAAGAATTAAAAAAATGAAACCTGACAGGAAATCTCTAGCAGAATGTCCCAGGAGTCTATGCTTGGGCCTGTGCTCTCTAACATTTTTGAAAGACAAGTGAAAATGCAAAAGGGTTTTTGCCAGACTAGAACAGTAGGCTGAAGAGAACATAACAAAATTTAATAGGGACAAATGCAGAGTCTTTCAAGGTGGGTTCAATAAATCAACTTCAAGAGTAAAATATAGGAGATGCATGATCAGATAGCAGATTGTCTGAAAAAGATCTGCAGGGTTTGGTGGACTAGAAAAGCTCAATGAGTTAAGAATGTGAGTATGGCTGCCAAAATAGCTACTGTGAAATTGGGCTACATTAAGAGAAGCAAAACTTCCAGGAATAAGGAAGTAAGAGGTCTGCTATACTCTGCCCTGGTCAGAACACAAAAGGAATCCTGTGTTCTGTTCTAGGAATACCAGGTAAAAAGGATATTTCTCATCTGGAGAACACATAAAAGAAAACAACAAGAGCAGTAAAGGAACTCAAGCTGATACCTAATGAAGATTAGTTTACACTATAGGGAATGTTTAGCTAGGGAGAGGGAAGATTTGAGGAAGACATGGTAGCTATTTCACAGAACCATAAGCAATGAGCAGAAATCGCAGAGGCAATAGTCTTGATCTTAAGATAAAATGTCCTCACAATTAAAGCTATCCATAAGTGAAATGTTCTGACGCAGCAGGTAGGAGGCTTGCCTTCATTAGAAGTCTTCCAATAAATACTGAATGACCAGCTGCAGCATGTGCTACAGTGAGAATTTTTTTTGGCTATGTATAGAATCAGGAAGAGTCACTGAGATCCCTGTCAATAGTGAAATTCTGTGATTTTGTCATCTGGGTTCTCAAAGTCACTGAACTCTTCGGTTTCTCATCTATAAAATCAGAGGATTTACAAGATAAACATAGGGAACATCGGAGCTCTACGACATATTGGCAAGGTATTCTATGTGCATAAATGAAGGACTGCAATAAGTGGTTATAAGCCTTCCATATGATGGCATGTTGCAGAGGCACTACTGTACAACAGGAATAGTAACAAATGATCATCTTTCAGCAATATACACTGTCCTGTTCTCTGCATGTCATGTATTCTACTTGTTAATTAATTTTTAATTATAAAAGTAAATATCACCTCCAGTCATAACTACTCAATGCTGTACAGATAAACATGAAAGTTATTTTTTTAAAGTTAACTTACCATCAATATTACAAAGATCTTTCTTTGTGCATGTCAAAAGCCTAGCTGTGCAGTGGTTAACTAATTCTTCCTTATCTTCTAAAGGTAAAAATGGAGAGAGACTCTGAACAGTATGCAAACTACCTTCTGTTACTGGAAAAAACCTGTCCACAGAAGAGAAAAGATGTTATAGAAAGATTTTTAAAATAATACCTCTATTGTCACTTGCATAGTTAAATTCAGAAAAATCCCCAAAATCCATACCTCTTGTTTAGGCTATTCAACTCACATCACATAATACATCAAAAGAAATGCAACAAAAGTCTGGCCAAATACAATGGTCAATGTGAATACTACACTGTCAAAACTAAAAGATATATCTCTACTTTCTGCTAACAATTAACTGTTTTTCTTATTTTATGTTTTGTTTTGTACTTTTGAGACTGAGTCTCCCTATCTCATCCATACCCAGAAGTAGAGTAACCCACTCATGGTTCCTCTTATACACTGTTAATGCTTTGTATTATAATCATTTGTAAATCTGTCTGATTTCTATCCCTAAAACATTTTCAATTTCTTAGGGTCAGGGACCTTGATCTATAAAAATGTGTAGCTATATTTTGTATTCACGTGGTAGAAAACAAATCCCCCTACGGACGACACTCCTTGAAAACCAGTTAATACTGAACAGCATGAAGCTTTGAGCAGCTTTGTTTCCAACCCAGGCCGGTTCACCCTCTTTTATTAGTCTGATGTTCCTCCATTCCTGGGGTCTAACACACTACCCCATAACATAGTCCACTGAATCTCAGAACTCGTGAGCTCAAGCTATTCATTGGCCGTTTTAAACCTGCCTTGTAGCAGAGATCACAGGCCTCCCTCACCATACTTGGCATGAACTAAATGCCTTCTTGAGAGATCAAAGGGGAAGGAGCAATCACTTCCAAGTAGGGATCAGGGGAAAGGGAGGAAGAATACTCAAGGAGAAAGTCTTTGATCTGGACCTTGAACAAAAAGTTAAGATTGTAAACTGTGGAAATATAGGGAACATGTTGAGAATTCCAGGCATTTAGAAGGACTCTGGAAGGTATGGAGGTGTAAAAGCCTCAAACATGTTCAGAGAACAGAGTAATTTGGTTTGGCTGAAAAGAAAGGTACAAAGTAGGCTAATCAAGGATAAGACAGGTGTGGAGTGTCCTGAAGATGAAAATAAGGAGTTTTTAATCTATCCAATAGACAACAGGGAACCACTGAAGTTTTCTGAGCAAGAATGACATGATTAAAGCTTTACTTTAAGAACTCTGATTTGGGGCAGCTAGGTGGCACAGTGAATAGAGGTCTGGCCTTGGAGTCAGGAGGACCTGAGTTCAAATCCAGCCTCAGACACTTAACACGTATTAGCTGTGTGACCCTGGGCAAGTCACTTAATCCCAAATGCCTCATCAAAAAAGAAAAAAAAAGAGAGAGACAACTTTGATTCAATAATGTTTTGCAGGATTACTGGAACAGCAAGAACAAAGAGATCATTTAAGTTACCGTAATATACCAGGCTAGAGGCAATAAAGGCCTTCTGCAGACCAAATCCAGCTCTTCATCTGTTTTGTACAGCTCCTGACCTAAAAATGTTTTGTTTTGTTTTTTTACCATTTAAATAAAGTTTTACTATACTTTTAAAATTAAGTTTTGCTGTATTTTAAAATGTAAAAAGCATTCTTAGCTCATATGGGGCAGTCCTCAGGCTATAATGTGTTGACCCCTGGCCTAAACTATGTCCAGTAGCAATAAGAATATAAAGTAAGTGATAGCCTTGAGAACTACTGTAGAAATTTAATCAATAGAACTTGGCAAATGATGAACTATTCACATGGAATCTGTAGGCAGTTCAGAGTGTGGATCGAGAGCTTGGGAAAAAGTAAGAGTCATTCACTAAATAAACTAAATAACTAAAGCCATGGGACTTGATATCATTACCAAAGAGAATTTTAAAAAGTCAATAATAGATCCTAGAACATATATGCATTAAGGAGGTAGAAGGAGAAAGTACTCAGGAGAAATAAGGAAAGAAACAGATGAGTTCATTGTTGTGGAAGCCAAAAGAGAAATAATCAAGTAGGAAGATGTCTGGTTACTACAACACTACAGAGACGTGGGGGATTACAACTGCAAAAAGGCCACAGAAGTTAGCAATTAAGTGACTGATACCCTTGCCAAAAAAATACCAAATATGTGGTGTCATGAAGTTATATCATAAAGGATTAAGGAATACTAGCATTAAGAAAAAGGGTAGGATGTAAAAGTCAAATGGTTCCATTTTAATAGGTTTAGTAGTTAGTGAATGGGACACGACAGAAGGTTATAATGAAGCTTTAGAGCATGGCAGAGTTAAGAGAAAGCTTTTTAAAAAAATATTAGGGAACATATGTTTATAGACAAAAGAGCAGTTGCTATCAGAGAGGAAGAAGTCACAGATATGATAGGAAAAGGGATTAATATTAATGATAGAGCAAGATCAGAAGAGAGAAGAAATGGGATAAAAAAAAAATCAGACAGAAATCACCTTAACAAGGACTATCTCCTCTGAAATTGTAAGGAAGGAAAAAAATGGAAGGAACATAAAAATCCTGAATTGGCGGAAACTCAAATCAGTGGTCAGAAGTAATGATGAGGACTAAGATATGGCCATATGATTGCTGCCAATAACGCAGTAAAAGAAGTGAAGGTCATGGAAACTGCACAATGAAAGTGAGGAAATCAGAACTGTGAGGTTCATGGAGCAAAGAAGTGAGTGAAAAAGGCAGAAGCTAGAGGAATACTGTGAGCTTGGTACTTTAGGACCAAAGGAAATCTTTAGATGACTGAAATTTGGAAAGGGTAGCATATGAGATGGTGTGGAGTTCAAAAACAAAAGGTTCTTGAGTGACAGTGCAAAAGCAATATCTAAAAGGAGTATGAGAACTACACTTATCACTTTTCTTCTGTCCTTGAACTGAAGAACAGAGTAGCCTTCAATGGAAAGTGTTTCAAGAAAACAAGTGTGTCAACAGGTGAAACTTAGGTTTTAATCAAAACAAGGAGATGGAAAGACTAACCAAGGAAAAGGTCAATAGTGTCTACTACTTATTGAAAAACGCTGATAGTATATTATACTATACTGAAACCAGCAAAATGATTTCTTTAAATATTTGTAGCAATAATAATAACACCAACAGGGGGCTTCAACATGTACAGAAAAAAAACTGCTTAAGTTAGTGCATGACTAAGGCAAAATAATATAAACTGCTCTAGAAACAGCTTGGGTCAGGGAGAATACTTTCAATTGGGAAAATCTGAGAAAGGAGGTACTAGTGATCTTTCCATTGTTCACATAGCTTCAATATTTTAACTTTCGTATTTCATTACATCTCTTGGTATATAACTAGAAATACTTCCAAGTAAAGGTTTAATTCAATTATTAAAAGCCACTTGCATACTATCACATAAGGTAGTTCTGAACATTTGCTGCCTAACTTTCTTAAACAGCTCAGAGGAACTGGTTTATTTAAATACAATGTTCTTCTTCTAAGAGCAAAGGACAATGACAATCTGCTTCGACTACTTTAACAAGCCAAAAAAGAAAATTAATTTGCCCTAACTTTAAAAAAGTAAGAACTTCATGACAAAAACTGGGAGGAGTTTTGGTACAAAGTAAGAGAACAGACTTTTGAAATGCATTGTTTAGAAGTGATGCCAAACTCAAAAAGTCATTTTCTTAAATCGAATTCATTTGATAGCACTTGAAAAAAAAGAACATTCCTTACAAAAATGATAAATTTTTAAAGATACAACTGGCCTTTCCTCAAACTATGTAAGTTCATTAGTTCATTTCAGTTAAAGGTAGCATGCATGACTGCCTAAAGAGAAATTATAAAGTATAATAATTATAAATTAAAATACCCTTCTGTTGTCTTATAAAGTTGTTTAACTTCATCAGGTAAAATGTTCTTAGATTGCATCAGTTTAGAAATAGTTAGCGCCCAAAGTGTACCAGTGTCCTTGGACCTGAAGGAAAACAATAGAAGAAAATTATAAGAAACTCTATTTTCTAAAATTTATTACTGGTTTGAAAAACTGATTACAAGGGCCACCTTTGTAAAAATATCATGTCTCTTTCAAAATACAAATAAAACAACTTTGACCCCTCACATCCTTTAATTTGGCAAAGAAAGAAAAAGTCTGTGCTGAAGAGGTTTTAAGAAGGTAGACACACAAATTCATTGCTAGCAGAGCTGTGAACTAATCCAAACATTCCATAAAATTCAACTGAAACTATACTACAAAAGATATTAATCCTTAAATTTAAATTCTTTGATCAAATGATCCCAGTGTTGACCATCAGGGTCAATTAGAGAAAGGTTGCATATGTACCAAAATATTCACAGCGGTAATATTTTTAAAAGCAAAAAGCTGGAAACAAAGTGTGTGTTCAACAACTACAGAGAACGGTTTAACTATATGTGGCATATGAAAGTAATGGAAACGCAAGAAGATTGGTATGAATTAATGCAGAACCAGTAAATGATATACACAATGATGACAATAATATAAATGAAGACAATACTAAAAGACAATAAAATTCAGGTTAAATGTAATAATGTTGGTTTCAAATTTATAAAATATAGATCTTTCCTTTTTGTTAAACAGTAAATTACAAAAACAAAATTGTTTGAAATATTAGGCTGTTTTACCGGGGGATTTTGTTTGTTTGTTTTTAATGTGAAGGCACTGTAGTAGGGAGGGTTTGTTTACTGCAAAGTGAGGAAAAAATACCAAATATGTCAATTAAATAGTTTTTTAAAGTTTTCCAGAGAAGGTATCTAATTACCCTATAACTATATATCTGTCTGTTTATTTATCTATTGCTAAAGCCAAAAGTATTATTTCCTTAAGTTTCTGGTATCCTCACTAATAAACTACTTGTACTGTTTATTATCAGCTAACACTCTAAATCCAAAAAGGATCTAGAACCTCCAACTCCTATGAGAAGTAGCAGAATGGAGATTAAGGTGTGGTCTAGGAATGCATTTATTATGTGGGTGACCATCTATTGGGGAATGACTAAACAAACTTTGAAACAGAACATGAAATATTATTGTTCCATATGAAATAAAGATATATAGATTCAGAGAAATCAGGGAAGAATTTTAAAAGTAAATGAAATCACAGCTAAAATAAATATATGTATGTATATGTACCCACACGTATCTCACTTCCAGGATTTTACAAAATGCTTCATATATACTTCTGTGATTTTCTAAATACACTGAATTAGGCAATGAAAATATTATTATCCTAATTTTTAAAATGAAGTAACTGAGAGTTGGGGATAGTAAGCGACTTTCCCACAGTTACAGAGCTGGTATTGACTAGTGAAGACTCATTTTTCTACCTACACTGAAATATATCTTCAATACAGTTACTACCAATCCCAAGATAAAGAAAGAAATTTAAAACAATTCTCTTAGTGAAAAGGCAGTACATGAAGTCAGCTCCATATTTCCTGAAAGCCTATATCATAAAGAAGTCAGGAATTAAAATGGCTTCTTACCTGATAAATATCAATTGCAGCAGTCCAGGTATCTTGCTAAGTACACATAAATTATCATAAGTAATACCCATTCCTTGAAGCATCTCACAAAATTCAATTAGCATGCTATATGGATTTTCCAATTCTTCACACCACTGCAATGAATAGAGCAATTCTGCAACTAGTGAAAAGGACAAGATCAGACTTAAAAAATGTACACACTTCAGCCATCTCCATTTGCCCAATCTCACTTCCCAACACTGAGGCTTTTCTCCTGTCAGTAGCCCCAAGGTTGTGTGGAAAAAATAATTTTTTTAATTAAATTTTATTAATTTTTTTGATATACTGTAAGTACAAAATTGTCTCCTTCCTTCTTTACACACCCCCCATCCTGACTAGAGAAGGCCACCACTCAACACAGATAGACAGCCAGACATACAGATTCGTAAAACCATCTGATGCATATTCCTATTTATCAGTTCTTTTTCTGGAGATGGATAGCACCTTACTTCATAGGTCCTTTGCAGTTGATTTGAATATTTATAATACTCAAAACAGCTTAATTATTCAGTTATTCCTCAAACAATATTGCTGTTACTGTATATAATGTTCTCTTGGTTCTGCTCATTTCACACTTTATTGTTTCATGCAAGCCTTTCCATATTTTGCTAAAATCAAACTACTTATCATTTCTTACAGTACAGTAGTATTACATAAGAATCATTTTTCACAACTTGTTCAGCCATTCCCCAATTGATGGACATCTCAATTTCAGTACTATACCACTACAAAGAGAGCTGCTATAAATATTTTAGAATATATAGGTTCTTTTCTTTTTCCCCTGATCACCCTGGGAAACAGACCTAATAGTACTATTGCTGGGTCAAAGGGTATATACACAGTTTTGGGCATAATTCCAGATCACTCTTGAAAATGGTTTCTTAGTTTCACCAACAGCATATTAGTGTAACAATTTTTCCACATCCCTTCTAACATGTCATTTTCTCGTTCTATCATTTTAGCCAATCTGATAGGTGAGTTGGTATCTCAAAGTTGTGCATTTCTCAAGCAAACAGTGATTTAGAGCATTTTTTCATGACTATAGATAGCTTTGAATTCTTCATCCAAAAACTGCCTCTTCGTATCCTCTGACCATTTATCAACTGGAGAATGACTCATTTTTATAAATTTGACAAAGTTCTCTATATATTTGAGATGTAAGACCTTTATCCAAGAAACCATCTATAAAATTTTCCAGTTTTCTGCTTTCACTCTAACCTTGGCTACATTGGTTTTATTTGTACAAAACATTTTTAATTTAATATTCTTCTCCTATCCATAAGTCTGACAGGTAATATATTCCATGTTCTTCTAATTTACTTGTGACATATTTCCCCTTTGTATCTAGGTCATGAATACATTTTGACCTTGTCTTGATAAGTAGTCATAAGATATTGGTCTATACCCAATTTCTGCCAGACTGCCTTACAATATTCCCAACAATTTTCTCCTAAATAGTAAACTCTTATCCCAAACGATTAAATCTTTACATTTCTCAAACATACTATAACCATTTACTATTCTGTTCCACTGATCTACCTTTCTATTTCTTAGCCAGTAGCAGAAAGTTTTGATAATTACCACTTCTTAATACAGTTTAAGATCTGGTACTGCTAAAACTCTTTCTTTTACATTTTCCCCCCATTAATTCCTTTCATATTTTTGACCTTTTATTCTTTCAAATGAATTGTTATTTTTTCTAGCTCAATGAAATAACTTTTTGGTAACTTAATTGGAATGGCACTGAATAAGTAGATTAGTTTAGGTAGGAGTATAACTTTTTTCATATTGGCTCTGCCTACCCTTGAACAATTAACATTACTCCAATAATTTAAATCTGACTTTATCCGTATAAAGTGTTTCATAATTATGTTCATATAGTTCCTGGGTTTATCCCAGGAGATGTACTCCAAGGTGTTTTATACTGTCTACGGTTTTGTAAAATGGAATATCCTTTACTATCTTGCAGTGTTTTCTTGGTGATTATGGAAATACTGATGATTTACATGGATTTATTTTATATCCTATTACTTTGCTAAAATTGTTCCAATTAGCTTTTTAGTTGACTTTCAAGGATTTTCCAAATATATTATCATATATTTCTGCAAAAAGAAGTCTGATAACTTCAGTTTCTTTTTCTTCTTTTACTATTGCCAGCATTTCTAATAAAATATTGAATAATCCTGGTGATAATGGGCATCAATGTTTCACTCCTGATCTTATCAGAAAGACTTCTATCTTATTCTCATTTCAAAAGTAATATTTGCTGATGGTTTTAGACAGATGCTTCTTTTCATTTTAAGTAAATATCCATTTATATCTGTGCTTTCAAATGCTTTTAATAGGAATGAGTTGTATTTTATCAAGTTTTTTCTACATCTATTAAGATAATCATATGACTTTTCTTACTTTTCTTATTGATGTAATCAATTATGTTAAATCTTTCTTATGTTAGACCATTCCTGTTATAAATCCCACTTGGTCACAATGTAAAATCTTTATGATATATTGTTGTACTCTCCTAGCTAGTATTTCGAGATTTTTTTGCATAATTTGCATAATTTTCTTTCTGTTTTTGCTCTTCCTGGTTTAGGTGTCAGCACTACATTTGTTTTTAAAAGGAGCTTAGTAAGACTCCTTCTTTGCCTATTTTTCTAGATAATTTATTTAATATTGGAATTATTTAATATTGGAATTAAAATTGGAATGCCTGCTAGAGTCCACTTGTAAACTCATCTGATTCTGATGTGTTTTTTGTTTTTTTTTCAGGACGCTCATTTATGGCCTGTTTGATTTCTTTTTCTAAAATAGGTTATTTAGATGTTCTATTTCCTCTTCTATTAACTGAGGCAGTTTAGATTTTTATAAGTATTCTTCCATTTCACTTAAATTGTTAAATTTACTGGCATATAATGGGGCAAAAAAACTCCCAATAATTGCTTTGATTTTATTCATTAGTGGTATATTCACCCTTTTCATTAATGATACTAGTGATCTGTTTTCCTTCTTTTTTAGTAATATTAACCAAAATCTTATTGGGTTTTTTAATTTTACCTCATTTTTTTTCATAATACCAACTCCTGGTTATAGTTATTAATTCAATAGTTTTCTTACATTCAATTTTATTAATCTCACCTTTAATTTTTAGGATTTCTGATTTGGTATTTAATGGGGAGGGTTGTTGATCTGCTCTTTCTCTAGTTTAATGATGTAAGCAGTTAAACATATACATTTTTCTGATTATTGCTTTTGCTGCATCCCATGGATTTTGGTATGTTATCTGATTATTATCATTCTCTTTATTTATTGTTTCTCTGACTTGCTCTTTAACCTGCTCATTCTTTATGATTAATCTCCAATTAATTTTTAATGTTTCCATGGTCACTTGTGAAATATAATTTTTAATGTATTATGATCTGAAAAGGATGAATTTAATATTTTTGCTTTTATGAATTTAACTATAAAGTTTTTATACCCTAATATACAGTCAATTTTAATTTCAAAGGTACTATATACCAATGAGAAAAAGGTATATTCCTTTCTATTCCCATTCAATTCTCTTCAGATGCTTATCTGGCTTATCTAAGATTCTAATTATCTCCTTGACTCTCCTCCACTATAATAGTTTTGCTATCCATTTCCACCTGTAATTCAATCAGCTTTTCCTTTTAAAATTTTGAGTGCTATAGCATTTGGTGCACATAGGTTTAATATTGATATTATTTCATTAACTATGGTACCTCTTACAGAACTCAGTTTCCCTATTTATCTTTTAACTGCTTTAACTATTATGTTTGGCTTTATCTGGTTCTTGTAGGTCAGATTTTCTGTTCAGTTCTGGTCTTTTCCTCAACAAAACCTTAAAGTTCTTTAATTCACTAAATATTTATTTTTTTCCTATGCAGGATTACAATCAGCTTTGCTAGGTAAGTTATTCTTAAAACCAGCTCCTTTGCTCTGAAGAACATTCATGTTCCATGCCCTCCAGTCCTTTAATGTAGAAGCTGCTAACTCTGGCGTTATCCTGATTGTATCTCTACAATATTAAACTGTTTCCTTCTTGTAGAACTGCTTGTAGAATTTTCTCCTTCACCTGGGAGCTTCGAAACTTACCTATAATGTTCCTGTGAGTTTTCTTTCAGGTGGTGAATGGTAGATTTGTCCAATTTTTATTTTACCCTCTAGCTCAGAGGTTCCCAACTTATTTGGCTTATCACCCCCTTTTCAAAAAAAAAATTACTCAACACCCCCCTGGAAATCTACTTTCTTTAACCCTTTAACTTTTTTTTGAAATCTGCATCATTTCAAAAAATATTTTTTTTAAATGAAGCATCTTACATTTAATAATTTATTGCAAATTTGTGGGTTTTTTCCTGCTTGAAATTTGGTAACACAATATTGCATCACATAACCGTATCGTATCATATTGTAAACAAGTCATTATAGCACATATTCTTGCTGATGCACGCTGGCCTTCCCAACATGCTCACCTGCCAACACTACTTGCTTTTTAAGATCTGTCAGCAGACTTGACCATTGATCAGTTATAACTAGCATTTGTGTGTGTATTTGGAAAATAATGTAATCACTATGACTTTAACTCTGTTAGACAACAGATGAAACATGTACAAACAGTTTTTTCAAAATTTTCTTCTCTTCTTTCCTTATGCTTCCACTGCCTCCTTATTTTTACTCCCAACTGCACCCAAGCTACAACTGCCCCCCGGATCACTCCAGTGCCCCCCAGGAGATGATAGTGCCCATTTCAGGCACTATGCTCTATGCTCTAGAATTTCAGGGATATTTTGCTTAATAATTTCCTGAAGTATAATGTCCAGACTTTTTTTTTTTAGCAAAACTTTCATGTAGTCCAACAATTCTTATATTGTCTCTCCTTGATATGTTTTCCAGGTCAATTATTTTTGTATTAAGATTTCACATTCTCTTTTATTTTTTCATTCTACTGATTTTGTTTTATTATTTCCTGGTGTCTTATGAAGTTATCAGCTTCTGCTTGCCCAAATCTATTTTTTAACGAACTATTTTCTTCCATAAGTTTTTGGATTTCTTTTTCCAATTGGTTGACTTTCTTTTCATAATTTTCTAGCATTACTCTTATTGTTTCTCCTAATTTTTCTTCAACTTCTAATTTTTAAAGTCCTTTTAAATCTCTTCCAAGAACTCTTTTTGGGCTTGTGACCATTTCACATTTTTCTTTGAAGCTTTAGAAGGACTTCACTTCACTTCTGAGTCTAAACTCTGATCTTCTCTATCACCACAGTAGCTATCTTTCTCTTTTGCTTACTCATTTTTTTTAGCAGCTTATTTAATTTTATGGTAAAGTCAGGCTATAATCCCAAAGTGTGGGGGATAATGTCTCAGACATCAGGGTTTTTATGCTATTGTTTTCTCTATCTGGAGGCCTAACCTCAGGTACTCCTCTCTGCCCCAGAGCCACAAAGGAGACCCCCCAGCAATGCTGTCACCACAGACACAATTACTCCCTGTAATCACTCCTATGGCTAGGAGTTTCAGCTCATCCCTATGCTCTGGAATTGAAACCTGGGACTCTACTCTCCTGCAAGCTACTACAGCCAACAGGGCCCCACCCTCTACGACCACAGTCACCAGTCGGGTGTCTGGTCAACATACCTGGTACCCAGATCCAGCACCAGCAGAGGGTCCTAGAATCTTCCCCTGATCAGCAGTCTGACCCCAACACTGTCCATGGGGTGAAGGTTCCTGAACCTGAGGCTACTGCCTATACAGCTGCCCTCAGGGCTTGTGGTTTGTTGACTTGGTGGTATATGCCCCAAGGTATCCACACTTCACTCAGGCCAGACCACTGTCCTGGAGGGGAGATCTTTACTAATCTTTACCCAAACTGTCTTTGGTTGGATTAACTGCTTTACCCCAACTTTTAATTATTTCTGCCCCTCTAAATGTCACTTTAAGACATTATTTTAAATTATCTGTGGGGGAATTTAGGAGAGTCAGGTAATTTCCTGCCTTATGATGCCTTTTTCCAGAATCCACCCCTCTGGAATACAGAATTAACAACAGATACAAGCCCTCCAAATTTGTAATCCAACCAATTTTGCAAAAGCCCTACCCAGACAAAATATCCATCCATGTTGTTATTTGGATCTCTATCTACATTAAAAAAAAACCAAGAAAACAGATTCTGCTGAAGTTCCAAGAGGAACAACAATCTGAAGTATAAAACTGATATGCTGAGAGAGTACCTAAGAAGATGGTAGAGTAGGTTAGAAAATTCCAAGCTCTCCAGATTTCCCCCACAAATGAGAGAAGAATAGCACCTCAAGGAAGACATAGAGAGGTGAAAATAAATAAGAGTAGGGGCAGAACAGTGGTCCTCCTGAGACAACCAGGAGAGATCTGAAGAAAAATCCCAGGATGAGGTTTGGTCCCTGTGAAAAGTAAACCCCTCCAGCTTCAGCAACAAATGGAAAGCCCTGGGGTTAACTGGGTCCCGAGGCTGCCTCAGACCCAGCCACAGGAACTTTTACCCCCAGAACAGTGAGAACAGTAGGGCATCTAAGAAGACCAAGGGAACCTGTGCTGACAAGAAACACCAGACCCAGCAGTGCTATGGAGATGTGGCCAGGGTCAAGAAATAGCATACGGTCAGTGAGTGCAGAAGCACCAGGGTGAGGATGCTGCTGGCTGTGGGCACATGCAGGAAGCTGCAGGTCTTGGTTTCAGTTACAGACCTGAGGGGAGAACTGAAGGATGATCTGAGGCCAGAGGTACCCTATGCCTCAGGCCTAGAGATGATTACAAAAACTAAGCTACTACAAATAATTAAAAAATCATGAACAGGCAAAAGAGAAAGAGTTCAACCACAGCAAGGATAAAATATTACAAGCAACGAGAAAAATCAATTTAAGTATGGCAGCGCCACAATTAGATTCACACAAGACCAACCAGTGGCAACACAAAAGACTGCAGGTCTTGGAACATTTTATACTGAAGAGTGAAAAACTGGGGTTCTGGCCAAAAGCAACCTACTCAGCCAAGCTAAGCATGATACTGAATGAAAAAAAAATGGGTATTTAATGAACTGTCAGATTTTCAGCATTTTGTTAAAAAAAAACCTGAACTTAATAGAAGATGTGACATACTGAGCCAAGAGACATAAAAGGTACATACCACAGACTAATTACAAGGGACTCAATAAGGAACAACTATTTACCTTTTATGTATGTAAAACATAAAATGTATTTCTAAGATTTTTATTAGTAAATGGTTAGCTCGTAAGAAAAATCAGGATAGACCCGAGTATGATATGATTTTAAAAAGTAAAACCTTTTAGGAACAGCTAAAAAGAGTATCTTATACAAATAAGGTATGAGAGAAAGAACTGAAACAGAGGAATTAGATGGGGGAGGAGAGCTGGCAGTTCTGGAAACCTACTTTCACTGGGAATGGGTTCAAGAGAGGGAACAATACATATAGATAGGGTATAAAAATCTTCTAAATTCAGAAAGAAATAAAACACTAAGGGAACAGAGAGAGGGGAGAGGATAAGGGAGGGATCTTTAGAAGGGAAGATGAGGGAATAGGTTAAAGGCGGATACAGAAGGGTGCTTGGATTAATGAGAATGGGAGGATAAGGGAGGGATCCTTGGGGGAGGTTGGTAGGTTAAATAATGGCAGGGCAAGATAGCAGGAAGAAGTAAAGCAGAGGAATGAGGAAAGACAGAAAATAAGAGATACACACAAACATAAAATAAAGATCAGGAGTAGAATTTGTTAGGGAAAAAGGAGGAGGGTTGTAATCATGATCTTAGACAAAGTTAAGACTAAAATAGATTTAATCAAAAGAGAAAAATAGGGAAACTACACTATGTGTCAATCATATTTATCAATGTTGTTTTGGCCTGTTTAAAACAACCAGACAGTGGGAATTTTGCTATAGCGTAAGAAACGATGAGTTGGTGGAGTGGGAAAAATATGGAAAGACTCAGACTTAGGGAGGAAGAGGTTATCCACCTTCAGAGAAACAGAGGATAAATAAGTATAGTACGGTCTTACACTGATGCATACAAATGTATATATCCATCTATGACTATAATTATAGATATCTAAGAATATGTATGTATAAGTGTATGTATGTTTATGTATATATCTTTGGGTGTATATGTCTATCTATATATGTATATATGTATGTGTATACATATGTGCACAGTGTGTGTGTGTGTGTGTGTGTGTGTGTGTATCTATACATAACTGTGCTTAACTGTAGCCTTCTGAGGGGAGGAAGGGGGAAAAAAGAACAAAGTAAAAAGTGTACAGCAGAGAATAAAAGAAAACTTATATGGAAGCAAATGTGGACAGCTCTCAACACAATGTATATTATTTATTATATAGGCTTTCTTGAAATGGCAATTTATGGCTGTATATTTTGAATCTTCTCATGTTCTACTGTGTATATGGTAATACTTTCCTTATTTTGTATTATTTTAGTTTTAGTATTTAAGTCTTCTTTCTTTTCTTATTTTGTATTTAAGTTTAAAATGAAAAAATTTATAAAAAAGAAAACTGATATACCTATGAAAATACTGACAGTGTTAAAAAAAGTAAGTATAGACTTCCTAACTAAACACCACAATCTTTTCATGTCATTTTCTATAGTGTGTGTGTGTGTGTCATGGAACTCAACAATTCAATTCATTAAACATTTATTATGATGAAGACCCTTTTGGTAATTACACAACTAATTCTTCCTTAGATGAGACCAAACAGACCTACTTTATGCTTTATTGCTTATAACATTCTAATAAAATGTCAATATGTTCCCATTTGATTTATAGCTTAATATCAATCACTTATGTCTTTCAACTTTCCTCATCGCTAAAACAATGTTACATTCAAAGAACTAAAATTGTAGTGTTTACTATCCCTTTTCACGCATTTTAAGTAAGCCAGAATCCTTTATTTTCATCACAAAGCAATACTTACTTATTTTTTCAGTTTTATTATCTTCAAGAATTATTTCCTCTTTCAGAGCCAACAAGACTATTTTGCTTAACAATGCTGTGGTACACAAATGGTTTGGAAGCTTCACTGTACTATGTTCTTTGAAATCTGTTTTGGAGTGTTCATAGTTCAAACTTAATCTTCCTTCCAAAAGAGGTTTATGTAACCACTGTTAATAAAAAAAAAAAAAGAGTGAGAGACAGAAAGAAGTTCTCATTTATACAGGTATGTTAAGTCCCAAAATGAAAAAATATGGTCAGGTGATATGCAGTGCAATAATAAAATTCCAAAATTAACAAAGGTGTATATTAAGAGTCAAAGAGGAAGTAGAAAGTTTATCACTCTCACCAGATTACATAGCAAGTAGAAGATGTTAGTTTAAATGAAATCCAAATAATCATTAAAAGAAAGTTCTCGAGGAGAAAAGCTGAAAGGAGTTTTCCAGTCTGTAACATACCTGTGTAGAAAGAGAATGCCTCATATTTTCCCATTCACTATCACTTGGCATTATATTTTCAACACAAAGTCTCAGAAGAAAATGGGAATTGTAAGCTCCTAGAAGATTATTTAGTAAGTCATCAACAGTGGACATCATAACTCGTAGGCTAAAAACAAAAATATATTGTAGTTAGACTGTTACTTTCATTTAAGGACATTTGTATATGATAGTACCTTTATTGAACTACAAAGATAAACTGAGAGGTAAGTGATTTTTCCACATCATATAAATTCATAATTGAGAAATATAATATAGGTCTTTTAATTTTATTCACTCCTCTTGAAACAGTACCATGTATCTAAGAAGAATTTCATCCTGACAAGGAAAATGCAGAAGAAAATATTGCCTCACTTTTTCATCCTTGGGGTTTAGGACTATTCTGTAGCTGACTTCTAGAACAGATGTGATCCCAATTTGTTTCTAGTTATATCTGTTTCCTGAAAAATTTCCATCTCAGAGATACTGGGAAGAGAATACCAAAGGGTGCTCCCAACAAGAACAGACCTCTTCTAAGCCTGCCCTAGACTGAAGATGCGATTATTACATTTGCAAAGATAAATTCCTTCCAATGTCCAATTATCCTTAAACGGACAGCGTGGTAGCATTAACACTCATTAGCAACAAATCATCATTGAAGAAACTTACATTAACTCTACACTAATATACAAGCACGTACACAAATCAACAAGCCTCATTGTTTTGAAAAGGATTACAAAGAAAAAAATACTGTTATAGAGTACAGAGAACTTACCTTTTGACATCCAAGGATGTAGACTGAATTTGGTTCTTGAGCCATAGAGCAGATGAATACAGGAAGGTGCTCTGCTTTTCTGAATTTCCAAACTGAAGAACCAGTGAATGCAAGCCACATAACCACGTATGCTTCAGTTTACAGACAAGAAAGTCTAAAATCAAACAGTTAATAATGTAATTTGTAACACAAAAAAAGTCCAAATACTTTACTCATCTGAATTTGGCCATAGTTTATAATAGATTTCAGTTTTTTAAAGCATCATTTAAACAGAAAATGTAAAATAAACATTCAACTACCAAGCAAAGAATTTCTGAATCATGACACTAATACAAGTGAAACACATAACAAATACAAACTGACATGATTTCATTAGGTTTTAAAGGTTGGAAAAATACTACCATCATTTCCAGAGAGATTAATAATGAAGCTTTTTTTAAAAAGTCTATATTTCTTTTCCTTTCATACATGAAAGTGTACTAAGAGCAGTGGTGTCAAACTCAGATCTAAACAGATCCCTAAGGTCGGCATACTGACCTAGAAAACCAAAAATTTATTTTGTAAAACTTTTCCCAATTACACTTTAATGTGTTTCATGCACTCTGGAGCTTGCAGGCAGCAAGTCTGACACCTCTATACTAAAGCAAGGGTTGAGAAATATAGTTTCTACAACAGACAGTCTGGATATGATACCAAAAGTTGATTTTATTTTATCTTTTAACTATTAGACAAGATGAGGCAATGTGGTACTGCAAAATATGCAATGAGAATAGAAGACTTTTTTTTTTTAAGTCCTGGTTTCAGCACTAATCATCTATGTGACCTTTAGGAATTTACTTCATTTCTCCAGGGTTATTTCTAGTGTTAAATAGGGGGAAGGAAGGGAGAAAGGGCAAATGACAAAATGATCTCTAAGTCCCTTCTAAGTCTAATACTCTACAATTCTCAAAATGGTACATGTCACATGTCAATCTATGGCATAGAATGGGTAAAAATGTTTTAAATACCAACAATAGGAATGCTGTTTTCTGGGATGCTTTAGGTATAAAGTCATGGGGATAGACGACTGGGTATCTCAAAATCCTTTTCTACCCTGACATTCATTATTAAATAATCAATCAACATTAAGTCCCTATGTGCAAGGTACTATATTAAACGCTAGGTATAAAAAACTAAAGTAAAACAATTTATTTCTCAAGGAACTTATGTTCATTCTCATGGGAGAGCAATTAGACTGATTATTTAAATGTTTTATCTCTAGAAACCCTCGAGCCTCATGTCTAAAACAGAACATAGTGGGTATGTCTAACCCTCTAAAACAACGTTTAAATTTCCACACTAAAATAATGAGAGCATGTGCAAGTGTACTTTCCAGTATCCAAAGCTATGTTTCCCAAAAACAGAATTTAAAAAATAAACTACTCAGAAGTATGCATATTGCTACCTGATAAGTGTGTAAAATTCTGGTTCTGAGCACACAACTGAAAGATGGTTAATAATAACTCTTCAGAAGATGACATTAAACAACATCCTTTAATAGAGGTGAAAAAGTTAGAGGCCACATCACAGATGAAAGATACTGGTGACTCAGTATTTCCAGCTTCTGAAATATGCTTTGCTTTGGATAGAGCTGCATTAAGTTTGCTGATAATTCTCTCAATATAAGCTTCTCCAATCAAGTAATCTGTTGAAAAAATTAAAAAGAAACAAAATGTTACAAATATTATCACTGCATTTTCAAGCATATTTTTATTACTGGCAATTCTTTTTCATCAGAACAATTCTCCAAATATCCAGGTAGCATGGCATGGCAGACAGAGAACCAGTCTTTGGAGTTAGAAAGACTGCAATATTTAAGGTCATGCTTCTGACACCAGCTATGTAATCATGAACAAGCCAATTAAACAGTGGCCCAGCAAGCCTCTAAGACTCTAAGTTATAGTCTTGTCAGTCTTCAATAATGGAAAGACATTCAACTTCATATTAATGAAATCAAAGATCGAGACCAAAAAGAAAACTAACACACATGAGTATAAATACATACATACAGACACACACATACACACACACACACACACACACACACACACACACACACAGAGAAAACTCAAGGTGACTATTCAATCTACACTTTCAAACTTAGCTCAAAAGCACATAATAAAAATGTTGATGTTCTATAAGAAAAGTAGATTAGCTTAACAAAACTCAAGTTAAAAAAATTATATTTTTTCCAAGTAATGTTGAAAGGATTAAGAGAGCACCACAGATGCCTGCAACAGATCCTGCAAATTAAATCTTTTTATATACAAATAAGAAAAGTCTTACGGCTTCTCTAGGCCAATAACCAACAAGCTAACTGAACCTGGATCGCCGCCTTGTTGTGGAAAAGGGGCTTGCATAGCACAATGAAACTATAAGCTATGCCATGCAGGGTTCCCCAAGACAGACAGGTCGTAATAGAGAGTTCTGATAAAAAGTGATCCACTGGAGAAGGAAATGGCAAACCACTTCAGTATCTTTACCAAGAAAACCCCATGGACATTACTAAAATGATAAAAGAGGTGACATCAGAAGATGAACCTCTCAGGTCAGAAGGGTTCGATACTCTACTAGGAAAGAATGGAGGATAACTACAAGTAGCCCCAGTACTAAGGAAATGGTTGGGCCAAAGCCAAGAGGAAACTCAGATGCGGATGTGTTGGGTGATAAAAGGAAAGTCTAATGCTATAAAGATCAATATTGCATAGGAATCTGGAATGTAGGGTCTACGAATCAAGGTAAATTGGATGTGGTCAAACAGGACACGGAAAGATAAAACACCAACATCTTAGGTGTCGGTGAACTAAATGAACAGGAATGGGTGAATCACTACATATACTACTGTACCCAAGAATCCCTTGGAAGAAATAAAGCAGCCCTCCTCATAGTCAATAAAAGGGTGAAAAAAACAGTACTGGGAGTATAATCTCAAAAATGATAGAATGATATTTGTTCAAATCCAAGGCAAACAATTCAAAGTCTATACTCCAACCACTGAGGACAAAGAGGACAAAGTTGATCAGTTCTAGAAAGACCTACAATATTTTCTAAAAAACGATAGTACATTTGTCATAGAGGACTGAAATACTAAAGTATGAAATCAAAAGAAAATTGGCGTAACAGAAGAAATGAAGCAGGACAGAGACTAATAGTTTTGTAAAGATAACTTGCTGGTCATAACAAACACTTTTTCAACAACCCAAAAGGTGATGCTACACATGGATATCACCAGATGGTCAGTATCAAAATCAGACTGGTTACATACTTTGTAGACAAAGATGGAGAAACTTCAGTCAGTTAAAACAAGAGCTGGAACTGACTGTGGCTCAGATTATGAGCTTCTTATTAAATGAAGGAAGTAGGGAAAACCATTAGACCATATAGGTATGAAATAAATAACATCCTCATGAAAATGAAGTAGAGGTGATAAATAAATTTAAGCAATTAGATCTGATAGATAAAGTGCCCAAAGAACTACAGACAGAGTTTTGCAATACTGTACAGGAGGCAGCAACAAAAAACATTTTAAAGAAAAAGAATAACAAGAAAGCAAAATGGCCATCTGATGAGGTTTTACAAACAACTGTGGAAAGAAGGAAACTGAAAGGGATAAAGGAGAAAGGCCAAAATATTTCTCTAATGAAGGCAGAATTCCAGAGAATAGCAAGGAGAGATAAGAAGGTTTTCTTAAATGAACAAAACAAAGAAACAGAAGAAAACACTGGAATGGTAAAGACAATAGATCTCTTCAAGAAAACCAGATATATTGGAGCAGCTAGGTGGCACAGTGGATAGAACACCAGCCCTTAAGTCAAAGAGGACCTGAGTTCAAATCTGGACTCAGACCAAACACTTGACACTTACTAGCTGTGCAACCCTGCGCAAGTCACTTAACCCCAACTGCCTTAAAAAAAAGAAAGAAAAACATATATATCAAGGGAACGTTTTGTACAAAACTGGGAATGATACAAGATAAAAACAGGGACCTAACTGAAGCAGAAGAGATTATGAAGAAGTGGAAAGAATATTCAGAAGAAATATACAAGAAAGATCTTATTATCACCAATAACATTATGGTGTGTGGTCACTGACCTACAGCTAAATATCTTTGAGAATGAAGTCAAATGGGCCTTAGGCATCATTGCTAACAATAAGGCTAGGGGAGATGGTACATTCTAATTGAGCTATTTAAAACCCTAAAAGATAATGCTGTAAAAGTGCTGTAAAAGTCAATATGACAGCAAATTTGGAAAACTCAACAGTAGTCACTGGATTGGTTACTTTAAATCACAATTCTAAAGAAGGGCAGAGCCAACAAATGTTCAAATTACCGAACAACTGTGCTCATTTTACACACCAGCAAGGTTATGCTAAAGATTCTTCTAGCTAGGCTTCAGCAATATGTGAACTAATTACCAGAAGAGCAGACTGGTTTTCAAAGAGGCAGAGGAACCAGAAACCAAATTATCAACATTCACTGTATTATGGAGAAAGCAAGGGAGTTCCAGCAATAGACAGCAAGGAGATCAAAAATGTCAATTCTCATAGAAATTAATTCAGGCTATTCACTGGAAGGTCAAATACTGCTGAAGCTTAACTACTTTGGCCACACAATGAGAAGATGGGACTCACTGAAAAAGACCCTGATGTTGGGAAAGACTGAAGACAAAAGGAAAAAGGGACAGCAGAGGATGAGATGGAGACAGTGTTATGGAAACAACAAACATGAACTTGGAAAAGCTTCAAGAGACAGTGGAAGACAGAAGGGCCTAGTATGCTATGGTCCATGGAATCCTGCAGAATCGGCCATGACTCAACAAACAATAACAAAAACTGAACCTGGGAAATTCTAGATTCTCCAAAAATTGATCCCCAGTTGTCAAAATAAACCCTCACTGAACATACCATTTTTAACATGCTGAGACAATACCAAACTCAATAAGGTCCATCCTTCTGAGGTAAAGGATTCTGAAGATACTGTGCCTTCCAAGTCCTTATTACACAAATGATCAGCCAAAGTTACCAATTTCTCCCCTAGGATATCTCCCTTTAGCCAAGTAGATACTAACAAGTGTTTACTGGAACTTGAACATGCCTGAAAACATAAAAGTAAAGGTAAGCATAAGCAAGAGTTAGGGCCAAAGATATGCAAGTTTACTTAATTCATAAGTTTTCCTAAAATGCCATTTAAATATCAGTCCCTTGCCTAGAAAACTTTAATTATTCACCACTATCTGAAGAAAAATAATAACTATCATCTATATGGCACTTTAAAGTTTGTAAAGAGCTTTCTTCACAGCAACCTTGTGAGCTAAGTAGTACACATTAAGTATACTATCCCCGCTCTGCTGATGATGAAACTGAAGCTTTGGGAGATTAAATGACTTGCCCATAAGCGTACAGTTACAGTATATGAGGCAGAATGTGAATGCATGTCTTTTGACTCCAAGGCCAGTACTCTAGCCAATATGACCCATTATCTCCCCCTAAATTCCAAACTCCTCAATTAACTCCAACCTTTCAAATTTTTGTCTCCCATTATTTTTTAAACACAAAGCCTCTGTTCTATTTAGGTTTGTCTAATGTCATACTCTCACCTCTGTTCGTGATATTCTCTGATGCTGCCTCTCTATACAAAGTCTACTGACTGAACTATTCTGCAACTACTCCAGACACTGGTAATTATTCCCCTCTCTGAAAAACTGTCTGTACCACTTATTTGGGAATTTATTCATATAACATTCTGTACTTTCATGCCCCAAATGTATGTCTTCTTCCCAAACAGACTATAAAGTTCTTCAAGATAATGGCTGTTTCATAATTCCTTTGTATTCCCCACAGAGCTTAGCACTGTGTTATGCGCACTTCATCCTTCATAAAAATCTTCAGGAATGAATTTTAAATAAAAAATACCTAACAAATGTTATTTTCTGGTTCTTTAGTTTTACTAAAATTAAAGAGCACTTGATATATAATAGTGGCAATTTACTTCTATAATAGATTGAAATTATACTGCCATGAAAAAAAAAAGAAACTTTGGCCCAGAAGCATGTTATTGAGCCCAGATGTCTAACTGCAAATGACCGATCTTCAAGGAAAAAAAATCCATCAATCCATTCCAGAAACATGCTGATCCATGTTCCTCATGCTCCTTTGTTTTGAGGATTGAGGAAGAAGGGAAATTGTAACTTGGTTCATTTCAAAGAAATCTGGAAAAAAAAAATCCAAAAACCAAGTGTCGATTGGGAAATGCCTTACAAATCATTCTTTGGAAATCATCTATTTTTAAAAATGGGTTGAATAGCATAAAAGCAAAGCTTAACAAAGTTCTATTCCTGGCTTTGCCACTAAATTGCTATTTAACCTTAAGTAACTTCTTGGCCTTTATTTCCTCATGTGTAAAATGAGAGAATTCAACTGGACAACTTCTAATGTCCCTTTTGCCTCTAATATTCAAAGACCTTTTGTTCTAAAAAAGCTTACTTTAGAATCCTCTTGGGGCAGCTAGGTGGTGTAGTGGATAGAGCACTGGCCCTGGACTCAGGAGGACCTGAGTTCAAATCTGGCCTTAGACACATAACACTTAACTAGCTGTGTGACTTTGCGCAAATCACTTAACCCCACTGCCTAGCAAAATTTTTTTTAAAAAGTCCTCTTTAGCTTATGGGTAATCTAATTTTATGAGTCAATTTTTTCTAATTTGAAGTGTGATGTTAAACAGATTGTTCAATAAATATAAAATAACATGAAACCTACGCTACAATAGTAGTAGATTACTGCTGGTCTAAGGAGCAAATCTATTTTAAAAAATTTTAGCTGCCTAAATCTCACACAAAACAAAGCATATTATGAAAAAGGAAGGATTTTAGGAGGGCAGCCACAAAAAATTTTTTAGCATGCTTGGGCACCATTAAGAAATGACACAAATAATTTCTCTAGTAATAAAGATACTCAATCTGTGATTTCATTGGTATAATTAACTCCTGAATGAGGAAATACCCTTTACCAATGCAAGGTGGCACCTAAAGAGGTACCTGCAGAACTAAGAAGTTAAATGTCTTGCTCAGGATCATCCAGCTAGTAGTGGAACTTGAATCTAGGTCTGCCTGCCCTCAAGATTGGCTCTCTATCCACTAAGTCACACTCATAAATCTTTTCCATACAGAATGAAAATGAAGGGGCTATAGTGAATTATTACTACAGTGATCATACTGCCTTGTTTTTAAAAAATGACAGATTCAACAACTATGACAGAATTTTTATCAACGTAACGACCAAACACAACTCCAAAGGACTGATGATGAAGGATACTATCTACTTCAGTACTAAAGAGACATGGATTCAAGATGCAGAATGAGATGTATATCCTTTTGGACATGGCCAATACGGGAATTTGTTCTGTTTTCATTGGGTGGAGGAAAGGTAGAAAAGAAAGAAAAATAAGTACTTAGTGGCTGAAAAAAGTTTTTAATTACAAAAAGATTAATAATCTGCTGCCTCCATGTAAGAAATGAAACTGAATTAAAAAACAACAACAACAACAATTTTTGGACATGGCAAACGAGGAAATTTATTTTATTTGACAAAACAGATTAGCTATAAGGTCTTTGGTCTTTTCCTCCCAACAGAGGAGATAGTAAGGAAATAAAATATTTTAATAATTGAAATTAAAATGTAATTTTAAAAAAGGCTGCACCCTGGTACTAGGAAAATAAATTTCCCCCCCACTGAAGTCACACTGGATTTCTCAAAAAGTATCCTTTTTCTTCTACTTAAAGACTGGCTAGAACAAATTACAAAAAAAAATAATGAACAGTGAATTTGTGGGTAAGAAATAAGTTCCTGAATTATGAGAGGATGTATTTAGTAAGGCCAAAATTTGCCACACCACCACATTGGTAAATAAATAGGGAAACAGACTTACTGCATACTGACTTATCAACTCAAGTTTGAAGGACACTAATTTTTTCTAAAACTACAAAAAATTAACCATAAAAGAACAGTGAAAAAAAATACCTTTTGAATAATCCGAAGAATAATATTCCATTTCAGATCCAACTGAATGAGGGAAAAAAAGTTACTTATAATCCATGAATAAGGCAAAAACAACTTCTGAAATATCAAAATTGCTATGGCACAAAGGAGAATTAAAATTAATTAAGCTAGGAAAGTCACTTACAGTCAGAAGATTGGCAATTAAAGTTTCCTAAGTTGAAAGAACCCATTTATAATCTATAGACTGAAGGCAGTAACTGAAAGAGTTTGTTGCTAAATTCTCATATGAAATCATAGAATTGTGAAATTGGAAGGAACCTCACAAATCAACTAAGTTCTACAACTTCTCTGTAAGTATTTATCTAACTTAATTGCTTTAATATTTTCAGTAAAATACTGAAGTCACCCACTGGTTCTAATTACAAATGAAGCTTTTTTGAAATTTCTATGTGCAGTTCCTAGTTCTACCCTTCAAAGCCAAGCAAAACAAATTTAATCCCTCTTGTACATGAAGGCATGTATCAGATATATGAAGACAGCATCAAGTCTAAGTCTTTTTTTTTAACAGACATCCCACATTTGTATAATTTACCAATAATGATCAATATCATATTCTTTAACTTACAGCCTTAGCGAAAAAAAGGGTCTTTTTTTAACAGACATCCCACATTTGTATAATTTACCAATAATGATCAATATCATATTCTTTAACTTACAGCCTTAGTGAAAAAAGGGTCTTTTTTTTAACAGACATCCCACATTTATATAATTTACCAATAATGATCAATATCATACTCTTTAACTTATAAACTTGGCCAAAAAAAGGGTAACCATGTTCCAATGCTTAACACAGTTCCCAGCACATAGCAAGCATTTAATAAAAGCCTTGACTTAATAAATGACTTGACTATGTGAATATAGAGTAATCCAAAAAAGCTAACTTTCTGAATTTCAACTTACTCCGTCTACTTTTAATGGAATGACATGGTAGTCTAACAACAAAAAAAGGGCAATAATAATAGCTGTTTCCAAATAGCATCTTAAGTTTTACAAAGTGCTAACATTATCTCATTTAATCCTTACAGCAACTCTGTGAGGTAGTACTACCCATTTTTTAATGGGTAAGAAAACTGGGACTCAGGAAGGTTACGTGACTTAGCTATTCACAGCTAACTAATTGTTAAGAAATAGGAGTCAACCTAGTGATACCTTTGTCAAGTCATCCAGTATATTTTTTCTTTCTGTATTAGTTTCACAGCAAGAGAGGACACTGAACAAAATATCAACCAGAAAATCAATGTTTGCCTTCTTGTCTTCACCAAGCCAATTCATTAGTCTTCGATACATAAATTGTATTGCAGGATTTTCATGGACAAATTTTCCTACTTCTTGAGGTAGCGGAGTAAGGTTTTCACTGGCATCGTTTTTTTCTTTTGCTAAGTCCAGCAGAGCTTGGAATACTTGGCATGAAGAGAAAGAATTGAGAAGAGAAGACAAAAAGCTTAAATGATGCTCTGACTTCAGTTCACTGATATGTACAATACTCTGTTCTGCAAGTTTACAAACTAAGTCATACAGAGGTCCTTTCCTTAGAGGAGATATAGAAACTGGAAGATTCTCATCCCAACAGAATTCAGATTCTTCAATATTCTCTTCTGAAAATATATCTATTTTGTTCTCTTCTTTTTTGTTCTCGGTGCTACTTTCAGGCATCTCATCTATAAATCTGACCTTAGCAACTTTTTTTTTCCTTTGTTTCCATGAATTTTCTGCCTTCTGAAGAACTTCTAATAAGGTAGATATGCTCAATAATGATTTTCCATCAGTTTCTTGTGCATTAATTTTCTGAAGACAAATTTCTGTTAGACTTGTCCAAAAAGTTTTCAGCACATTCTTCAAAGTATTAACTACTGTATCATCTCCTTGGGCTTCTGCTTTAGTTTCCCAGGAACTTAGTGTTTCTACTAACTGATCAAAGAGCTGTTCATTCTGCAGTCTTGGGTCTTTCAGTGCTGTATCAACAAAAGGGATCAACTAAAAATGAAAGACAAAAAAAGTAAAAAAAAGTTTTTTGAGTAGAAAGAATTTAAGTAATATATTTCTGACAAACTTTAGGAGTTGTTGAAAAATATATTTCGCCCCAGAACTCTGAAAGTTAAAGATCCTACAGCCATAATTAGAGTCTGCTTGAATTACTTTTTTTTTTAACCAGACCTGTGATTTTTCTTCAGTGTAGGGAGCTCCCAGTGAGGAATTTCTCTCTACTAATATGAATTGGGGGCATTGAAAGGTTATGTGACTTAACCAGGATCACATACCCAGCACATTTTTCTGATTCTGAGGCCAGCTCTCTATTTTTTCATTAAGCAACACGGCCTCTCTTAGATATGAAAAAATAATGCAGGTTTCTTTCTATGTCTGTGTTTATCCCAACCTTTTCACTTCACTAAGGGCTGATCACTGACACAACATATGGTTAATTCCAACTTAACCATAATTTTAGGCTTGGGCATAATAATTGTAGAATTCTAAATTTATCTAGCCAATATAGTATGTTACTTAATGAATAAGTACGGCAAAGTTAAAAATTATAAACATGATCAATTAATATTAAAAGGTTACATTTTTAAAATAAGAAGTATTTTTACTTTATAAATACCTGATCATTGATAAGCATCTTCTGCATTTTTAATGATTCTTCCTTTACACCTAAATTTTGTTGCATTATGAACCGTAAACATTCAAAAAATGCAGATATTACCGCTGAGCACTCTGACCGGCTGGTTAGGATTCGTTCTGTTGATAGTCTAAGAAATAATAAATTATGTGATAAGAACAATAATTTTGCAATTCTGACTACTGATTTGTCTCATACTCTTATAGTTAATAAGAAGAAGAAGAAACATTATGGAATGAAAATATAGGCCACGAAAAAATATACAGAAAATATTCTACCAACACCAGAATGACATATTCTTAAAACTACTGAAAAATGAGAAGTACTTAGAAATCATAGTGTGTTTAAGTTTGAAGGGTATATCTTACCCTTTAGTTACATAAGTGAAAAAATTTCTGAAGAATTCCAAGTTCAAATCTTTAGGTGATAGGATAAAAGGGAGCTTAGAGGCCATCTAGACCAACTCCCTCACTTTACCAATAAAGAAACTAAGCCTCCATGCCCTGAAATTAATTGATTTATTCATATTCACACAGCTAACAAGACTTATATTCAATGAGCTTAAATATCTTTTTTATTTATGTTGAGTATCTGAAAATAGAGTTAAAACAAGTTAAAAATACAGAAAGAAATCTAGGAGAAAAAATTTTGAAAAGATATTAATTTTCCATTAATATTAATATTTAGGTAGCACTTTAGATTTGCAAAGTGTTTTCCCATTTTATACTCACATGGGTAGATAGTTCAGGTATTATTATTCCCATTTTAAAGAGAAAGAAACTAAGGCCTAAATGATTTGCCTGATATCACTTGCAAACTATAAAGTGATAAAGTTAGAATTGGAAACCTTCTTACTTCAAATCACCGAACACTTTTTCCACTAAACAACCCTGCTCCACATACTAACTCATATACAAATTAGTAGGTGACTCCTGCACAAATCAAAACAAAATTTTTTTTAAGAAAATAAGTTAAAATAAAGAACTTACACATTTTTATTACCACTACAATGAACTGAGTTTTCATTATTTATTGAACTTAATCACTTTAAAAACTAGTTACACTGATGAAAACCCTAATTAAGATCTTGTCTACACTGGGTCCTATTTCTCAAAATGCTACCAAACTAATCCATTTGGCAAAGTGATCTCACTCTTGACCTTAGTATACTGATTTCACTGTTTTGTGTAACCTGCTACTATGAGAATTCCAAAGAAAAGAATTATTAGGCTATGGTTTTAAAACACATTTAAGTAGATAATATTTAAGATCGGAGAGACAGAGTTGGAAGAGATCTCAGAAGACATCTAGCTCAAACTCATTTTACAAATGAGAACAATGAGGCCCAGAAAAGTAAAGTGACTTATTCGAAATCATAGATGCAGTAAATGGAAGATCTAGGATTCCAACCCAGGTAACACTGACTCCAAATTCAACACTCCCACTATACTGTCTAGAATATATAAATACTTGAAGAATCTTATTCATTGGATCACAGATTTAGAGATATAAGAGACCTTAGAAGCCACTGAGGCTAAACCACCTCATCTGATAGATGAGGAAACTGAAGAGGTTAAGTGACTTGTCCACAGTCACATAACTAATAAGTGCCCAATACAGGATTTTAACTTGAGTCTTCCTTACTCCAGGCCTATCACTCTATCCACTCCACCTCCAAAGCTATAAGTGTAGAAGATTATAGACTACTAAAGTTTATCCAGTTCAACCTCCTCATTCTATAGAAGAGGAAAACGAAACCCAGAAGACGTAAGTGACTTGCCTAAGATACCACAGTAACAGAACTAGAATTTGAACCCTTCTAACTCTTGGTTCAATAATGATCAGTAAATCATCCTACTCTCTCTTACTAGGTTCCCATATTGTCCCATTGAATACTTACCAACAATAAGGTATATTAACTATAAGATGCTCCTTCACCCAGACAAAAGAACTATAAATTCACACATCTAGTCCAAGACACAAAAATATTACTATCAATGACATTTTATACATAGGGACACATTGTATTTCTTATTCTATTTCTCTACTTCTGAAGAAAATTATTTGTACTTTAACAATCAAAATTTAGGATATCTTACCCTTTAGTTATATAAGTGAAAAAATTTCTGAAGAATTCCAAGTTCAAGTCTGTAGTAGCACGAGGGATCTTGCTAATAAAAGGCAAGAGATAAGGATATATAACCGTAGCTAGGCCTCCTCCTCCTTCACTAAGAATACTTGACAGTTTGGGAAAGACATTTTTTTTTGCATTGACATGATTCCAACAGTCCTACCAAAAACAAACAAAAAATAGAAATACAATGAATCATTCAATTTATCCCTTCCTATAATGTTCTCCACTTCTAAAAAATGAAATTCAGAAAAGAAAAACACAGATTGAGTCATACTATAATCATCAGTCATAATCACAATACAGTCAAAATTATAACATAAATCAGCGTTGATCAGAATCCACATGGACATGCATTTCATTTAATATAATTCTACTAGGGGTACTTTCCGAAAATGACAGCTCAATTCCATCTACCTTTTAAGACTCATATACGCTGCTCTTGTTTGCCTGCAAGTTATTACGTATTAATGGTTGTTGCTTTAAGTAAGAAACTAAATACAAGTTTTGTGAATTACATTTCTATATTCAGGTTAAAATTTGTATCAAGATTTAGAAGAAGTTTCTTCTACTATCTTTTAGTTTTCATAATGGATGAAGTTTCTTCTACCATTTTTTAGTTTTCATAATGGACTTCTTTATGTTTAAAGCTAGATAATGATCCATTAATGAAAAAGGGACAAAAATAATTTTGAAGTTCTCTTACATACCTCAATGGTGGTAAGGATATAAAGCACAGCTTCCCAAAGAGATGGACAAACCAGTGGATCGTTTTCATCAATGCTAACGAGAACTGCAGGAGATACTTTGGATGATTCGGCTTTCACAGACTTTGGAATATACTGACATAAGGCAGAAATTAATTCAAAAAAAGCTGAACGAACCTAAAAGAGACAACAAAGAGAAATAATATAAAAGTTAGGAACACTTAAAAAGCTGTGTTACAATGAAGGCCTAGTTTTTTCATTTCCTTGTTACACATATAATAAATATCCAAATAAAATACATGGATGTGGTTTATTGTTTATGGTTAAAAAATAAAGAGCAGTTAATATGCACATTAAAGAACAACAATTTTCAAATCTATTACTCAGAGTTTCAAATAATTCTGATTTCCCATAACAATGCAGGAAAATATGAATGGCTCTGGGTTCCAGTGAAGACATGTGAATGCTTATAAATCAGGTACACAAAATGTCAAATATATTTACAACCAACAGCATTAATGACTAAAAATTGACAGAATTTAGTTCAAATAAGCAATCAGAATTTGATCAGAGAAATGTAAATAAATGTAAATTAAGGTATTATCTTAAAAAGAGAGAGATAAGATAGGCATTTAAAATATAAAAAGGAAAAAAATACCTGGGGTGAACTATGCTTTCCATACTTCCAAAATTTGTTCTGTGATAGAAGAGGTTTGAGTTTTTCCTCTAGAGAGGCAATCTCACTAGAAGGCAACATGCAAAGTAGTTTCTTTAAAGCCAACAGGGAAGAAGTTAAAATTCGAAAATATTTGGCTTCTCTTTCTTCTTCTGGAACAGTTCTTAATTTGAAAGGGGTAAGAGACAGGGGGTAATGGAATATATATTAAATATGCACAAAACAAATGTTAAAAGTAACAATTATTTATATCATGAAGACACAAATTCTCAATATAAACTCATTACAGCAACTACGAAATTAATCAATCAACAAGCATATATAAAGTATCTATTTACTAAGTGTCAGGCACTGTGCTAAGGTGAATACTAAGACAAAAGTGAGATAATTCTTGCCCTCAAGGACCTTACATTCCAGGAGAGAAAGAATGTATATATAAGCATATAAATGATATATGTAATTTTTACCATAGTGCCTTACATAGTGTAGGTGTTAATAAACATTTGCTGAATAAATGAAAATTTACAATCAGAGTAATTAGCCTGGAAGATTCAAACATCAGTACTAGGCTTGCCAACATGATGGATCATCCATGTCCTGCCCTCTAACTATGACTAACCTCCAAGACTTTCTCTTCTTTTCTCACTTATTGAGAATAATTAATCAATCAATAAACCATTTATTAAGTTCCTACTGTGGTGGGTGAAAAATGAAATGAATCAATGTATGCCAATTGCCAAAAATCGAGACCAGTAACCTTCCTCAGTTTTGGCAATGGACTCCAAATACGAAGGGAGACAGACTTTTATGCATTAAAAACAATTAATCAAATAAAACCAATTAATTAAAAGAAAACAATTATCCAGGATACAAAATTAGGTGACCTGATTTCTAACTGGAGGAAAGATCAGGGACTCTCCAAGTCGGGAGGGGAAGAATTGTTGAGGGCCGATCTTAAGAGTCTGATAGGGGTTTAAGATCCAAGGCACAGTTTGACCTCTGCCCAGGCTTTTACCCAAAAGGGCTCAATGATTAAGTGGTATGGCTCTCCAATTCCTTCCTGATTAGGGGGTTCCTCAGACATTCCTTCTCACTCTTTGAACCTTAGATTTACACATTCACTCCTCTATGCAGGTGGCGCCAAGGCGCCTAGGAAAACCTTGGAATTTACAGCCCAATCTAGGAACCCTGATAAGGAGGAAATTCATGATTGTCACATCCTCAGCAGATGTTCTGGGGAGTATCTCACAGGGAGGACTCTTTGAAGTTAGGCTAGATTTTCTCTATATATCCTGTATGCTCAGATGAATAAACTGACTCAGTAATTCTACTCCGCCTGGCCCATGTCACAAGTTATTTCACACCTCTCCGTTCGGTGTACAGTCTGGTTGCAGGCAACAGAGAATGAACAGGTACAATTCCTTGAAATCAGAAAAAGAGGTATCCCACTCCCCCCAAGCATCTGTATATAATTAAAGAAACATGGAAACAACAACTGACCATTACAGGGCCATAAAAGAAATACAGGTTACTGGAGATGTGTAATTGTGAGAAAACATCTTGCATCAATCTTTTGATCTGACTGAGTTTCTGGTCAGCATAACCTAGGTCCTTAGTTAAGGGTCTCTAAGCAGCTGGTAGAGGTGGTTCAACTTCCTAGTCACACATACCTAGGTTCAGATGCAATAAAGTTCACTCACAATTCCCATAATTGAATAAAATTTTCTTATATGACAGAAACTGTACTAGACCCATAACTGAATAGAAAGGCAACTGAGCTAACTCCAATATTAAGTCACCAGATGGAATCAGTGTGTTTCACTCTATATACACTACCACTTTCTGTTCTAATATACTCACTTCCCTCACTAAGATGTTTCAGGCACTGTGCTAAGTACTGGGGATACAAAAAGAAGCAGAAAGAACCTGCCCTCAAGGAGCTTACAATCTAATGGGGAAACAACAAACAAACATACATATAGAAACAATATAGCAGATAAATAGTAAATAAAGAAGCTAGAATGAAAAGAGATTGGGAAAAGCTTCTTGCAGAAGATGGGATTTTAGCTGGGACTTAAACGAAGTCATGGAAGCCAACAGGCAGAGACAAGGAGGTAAAGCATTCCAAGCACAGGGAACAGCCACAGCAAATGTCTTGTTCACAAAACAGCGAAAAGGTCAGTGTCACTGGATCAAAGAGTATGTTGGCAGGGCATAAGGCTAGAAAGGTAGGAGAAGCCTAGGTTATGAAGAGCTTTGAATGCCAAGTAGAAGAATCAATATTTGATCCAGAAGGCTATAGGAAGATTCTGGAGTTTGCTGGGTAGGGAAGTAACATCATTGGACATGAAATTTAGGAAAATCACTTTGCTGTTTGTCCTCTGTTGTCAAAGAAGACCAATGACATGAAGGTGATATCTTGCAAGTGAACTGGATTTCAGTGAGGCATGGCTGTGCAAAGTCACCAGCCTCCCTCTCTCCTCCGCAGCCATTTGGGTCCAGCCTTGGAATCACCCTTTACTCTTCCCTCTTCCTTTTCCAATTCCCCTTAATATTATTACATTTCAAATTTATCCTCTATATACCTTGTTGGTACATAAGTGTTTGCAACTTGTCTTGCAGTTCATCAGACTGTGAACTCCTTAAGAGGAGCAACTGTTTTTTTAACTGTTGTTTTTTGTTTCTGTCTCCCCGTCCTGCCCCATTTAGCATGTAGCATGGAACATCAAGCACTTTATAAATACCTATTAAATGATTGACTCATATCTCCCATATTCAAACTGTTACCAAGTCTTGTTGATTCTATCTCAACAAGATATTACACATTTATTTTCTTTTCTCTACATACTTGGTTACCCTAATTTAGGTACTCATTAACCCTCATCTTGACTATTTCAAAAGCCTATAAAAACTAGATTTTCACAGCTTTAAGATTCTTTACCAAACTATCCTCCAAAGAGCTGCCAAAATAAATCTTTCTAAAGCACAAGTTTAATCACATCATTCCCCTGCTCAACCTTTTCCAATGGCTTCCTATTGCTTCCAAAATAAAATTTTAAAAATCATCAATTTACCATTTAAAGCCCTTTGTACTCTGGCTCCGGTCTATCTTTCTAGGCTTACTGTATGTTACTATACTTTCATGAATTCTCTGTTCCAGCTAACGTGGTGAACAGGAATTCATCTCCCACTTTCAAGTAACAGCACATGTTAACAACATGCTAGGCATGCATTCCCTCTTCAGATCCACCTCTTAGAATTCCTAGCTTACTTCAAGGCTAAACTCATGTCCTACTTCCTTATAGGAAGCTTTTGCAGATCTGCCCTTTTCCTCAAATTCTCATATAGATATTTATCCATTTAAATATTATATACCCCAGTAGAAGATAAATGTCTTGGGGGCAGAGGCTATTTATCATTTTGTCTTTGTATGCCCAGTGCTTAGCACAATGTCTTGCACACAGGAAACACTTAACTGGATAGAATTTAAGTTTTCAATGTATACAGCATATACTATACATACATACATACATCATACATATTATTACGGCTGTTTTAAAATTACAATATACCATTTCTACTCATAGTAATATGCTACAATTATTTCCACTATCCCTCTCTTATCACCACTCTGTCAGATAATGTATATAAATAAGGGATTCTAAAAGTTAGAAAACTATGAAAGTTGATGACAGGATGAGCACTGGCACTAAAATCACTGTGAATCCAGGGATGAAATGTTTCTTTGATGAAGACTCTAAAAGCTTAATCTACTTGATGCCACTTTATATAGCTTTAAACATATAACTATATAATTATGTTCACAGGGTTATTTATGAATCTTTACTCATTCTCTATAAGCACCGATAGGTGGGAGAAGGGGCGCTGCTACATTTGGGCAGGGAAGAAATAAGGTGGAACAAATTCAAATATGTTATTTTCAAAATCAAAACACAGGGGAAAATATTTTGTAGTGAAAATGTGATTTTGCACATTGAAAGAAGACAAATAGGTATGTGATGCACTAGAAGTTCTTTCCAAAACAAGGTTTAAAGACCATGAAAATTAGGTCTTCCATTCTCTAGAGGATCCCAATTATGAGAGTCAGAAACAATTATTTAAATCATATAATGGAAAAACAAGGAAAAAAGAATATTAACAAAACAATAAAAAAAATCAAAAACAAAGAAAGACTATCACCTTTCCCCCCCCACACACAGCAAATGTAATGGAGAAAATACACTTGGATGAAGATAATTTTAGTTCTTATAAACTTTGGTATGACAACTCTAATAAATAAAATCTACATTTATAAGCCATTTTTAACTTATCACTTAATAAACAACTGATTACATCTAGGTGGGCTCACAGTAATAAAAGTATACCTTTAATGTAAGACAAACAGAAACATCATATAACTTACTGTGGGTCACTAAGTGTATCTGGTGTTTCTTTTAGAAGATGATCCTGTAGTACCTACACAAGGTTTAAAAAAAAAAAAACCAAAACCTTAATCACTTAATAAGAGATTCAATTGCACAGTCAAGGATGGGTAGAAACAGCATGGATATGTGGAAGTTACAGATAATCCTGTAACACTCATTTTTAGTAATATTTTCAACCTCTTCCTTAGCAAAATTATTTCCAGAGTTACCACAAAGTAGCAAAAAACTGATTAGAGTTTCTCTTCTTTCTTCTAGGGTTTTATATGGTACAGAATACATGTTTACACAGCTACCACTTAGTTAATCATCTCAACTATTTGTAATGTAGCTAAAAACCCAAAAAGAAGCAAAAAAAAAGTCTATGAACATACAAAATATGTCACCATGGACATAAACAAAAGATATTTATTTCAAACACAAAATGATATTTCAGGCCCTTAACTCAATTCTAACAAGTTTCATTGTGTTCCTAATTCACAGGAGTCCAAAGCTTCAAATTAGAAAGGAAGCAGTTATGAGAGACAGCTGATAAAGGCATACTGACATAGCAGCAAAAAGTGACTGTGGTAAAGTGAGAGAAGAAATTAAACCAAGCAGACATAAATTCATTATCAACCAATGATTACCAAGAATTTACTTTATGCAGAGCACTGTGACAGACAATAGGAAAGATATAAAGATTAAAACAAGACGTAATCCCTATATATTATTCAAAGACCTCACAACCTAGCAGAGAGTGAGGGAAATGGAAAAGTATGGCAAGCAGAATTCAAGTCAATTATCAAGAGATGTTTATTAAGAACTTGATTAATTTCATAATATAGTGGGGCACAAGAGAACTCCAAGCATTATGAGGCATTCTGTTATGGGGGCAAATAGTCCAAAAACAAATCACAAAAGCCTGTGAAAAACATCGCCACGTTTATTTTTTGTCTATTTTGGTGGTTTTCTTTAACCTGTATAAACACTCACAAGTACAATAACTGATGCTGACCATAGTGCTAAATTGACCAGGCAAAAAGTTCACCTACGAAAGAAAAGTCCTATATAAATCAAAATATTTCCAGCAATATTTTTTATGAAACAAAATGGGGCCTTCCAACTGGGAAACTGTTAAACACATTGTGATACATCAACAGAACATTAAGACATGCCACATACAAGGAAATCAGAGAGACACGGGAAGACTAATATAAAGTGAAGTAAACAGAACCAGTAAAATATTATTTTTTATTTATATTTATATATATTTGTATATATTATTTATAATACTGTATAATATACACAGTGACAACAATATAAATGAAAAACAATAAAGTGAAACTATATGATTAAAATTCTCATACCTGGCCCCAGAAAAAAAAAAAGGCAGTCTCCTCCTTTCACTGAAAAGGTTAAGCACTATGGATGTGAAACGCTGCACAAGATACAGATGCCCAACAATGTGTTGGCTAGTTTTGCAAAATTACCTCATGGAAAATCTTTTCTTATCTTTGTTAAGGAAAGGCTTACTGGGAAGGGGAAGTGAGGATATATCCAAAAATGAATTATAATAGAGATTTCCAGCCAAGATGGCTGCCTAAACAGGGACTGGAAGATTAGCTTTCCCCACCTAGTCCAAAAAAAACATAAAAATTGTACTAGTCCAAATAATGGTCAAGAAATCCAAGGAGAAACTAAAATGAGTGACTTCTTCCACCCTAGAACTGAATAAAAAGGCCCTCAGGCAAAAGAAAAGAGGTCCACCAGTAAAGCCAGAACCAGGACAGGTAAATAAGTCAGCAACCTCCCACTGCAACCAGAGATCAGTCAAGAATTCATGTAGACATCACGGTTCTGTGGTTAGAAACATTAAGAGTGGGGAGTTCCTCCATAGAAGTCCCAGAGTAGTGAGAAACACAAGAGTATAGCCCTTGGAAGCCATGAAGAGCAGTAGCTAACAGTGTGGGTGCAACACTGTTCAGACAGTCAGTTAATCAACAAGCGTTTTTTAAATAAGCACCTAATATATGCCTGGCGCTGTGCTAAGTATTAGACACCCCAAGGTCCGAAGGACTCTGTCCTGAAAAGCCATAGAGGGTCCTAAAGACATAAGTGCTCTGAACATCAAAGATCTAGAAAGAAAAAGGTCAATACAGAAAATCAGGGAGACCAACAGAGCAGATCACTTGACTTTCATCTTATTGGATGCTGCTAACACAGTTCTAAGGGGAAAATTTATATTTCTAAAAGCTTTCATCACAAAAAGAGAAAAAAAAATAAACTAATGAACTGGGCACACTATTTTAAAAATTAAGACAAAAATAAATTTTTAAAAACCAATTAAAGTAGAAATTCTGAACATCAAAGAAGAGATTAATAAAATCTAAAGCAAAAAACCCCTCAAATTGATAAAACTACAAGCTTTTTTCCTGAAAAAAATATAAAATAAACAGTTAATTTGAATTCTAAAGAGAGTTAAATCCAACTATAAAATGAAAAAGAATTCACAACAATTGAAAAGGAAATTAAAAATTTATCAGAAATTCCTCTGCCCAATTATATACTAACAAAACTAGAGTGCTTTTATTTGGAACTATGCCCAAAGGTCTACAAAAATGTGCATACCCTTTGATCCAGCAATAGCACTTCTAGGGCTATATCCCAAAGAGATCATACAAATGGGAAAAGGACCCACATTTACAAAAATATTCATAGCAGCTCTTTTTGTGGTGGCAAAGAATTGGAAATTGAGAGGATGACCATCAGCTGGGGAATGGCTGAGCAAGTTGTGGTACACGAATGTAATGGAATACTATTGTGCTATAAGAAATGATGAACAGGCTGACTTCAGAAAAACCAGGAAAGACTTATATGGTCTGATGCTGAGTGAAGTGAGCAGAACCACGAGGACTTTGTACACAATAACAGCCACGCTGTGCGATGACTAATATTGATAAATTTAACCCTTCCCAGCAATACAAGGATCTAAGCCCTCTCCAAAAGCCTAGTGATGGAAAAGGCTATCCACATCCAAAGAAAGAACTATGGAGTTTGAATGCAGATTGAAGCATACTATTTGCTACTTTTTTTCTTCTGTTGAGTTTTGTTTCCTCTTTCTAGTGGTTCCTCCTATTGGTTCTAATTCTTACTTACAACATCACTAATATGAAAATATGTTTAATAGGAATGTATATGTATAGCCTATATCAGATTGTGTGCCATCTTGGGGAGGGTGGTAAGGAGGAAGGGGGAGAAAAATTTTAAACTCAAAAGCATATGGAAGTGATTGTTGATAAATCAAAATAAATTAATTTTAAAAAACTAGAGTGCTTTTTTTTAGAGGAAATGGATGGGTATACACAAAAACAAAATATTCAGATTAACAAAAAAAATTAATTAAAAATTCAGTATCAGAAAAACAACTGGACAAGTCATAAATAAACTCCCAAAGGGGGGGGGAAACCCTCCAGAACCAGATGGATTTTATCAAACACAAAAGAACAATTAATTCCATCATTATAGAAACTTTTTGCAAGAACAGGAAAAGAGACCCTTCTAATGAATATAGTATCAATATCTAAAAGAGAGAAAAAGCAGAGAAAAAAACTATAAACCAAGGATTCTTAAATTTATGTGTTTTACGGACCCAGCTAGTAGATTCAACGAAGCCTACAGACTCCTCCATAATATTGCCTACATGCATAATGGAAGGAACTGTTAAATTTCAGATGGAAATTATAGTGAAACTGAAGATATAAATATTTCCACAGAACCCCTGAAATCTATCTACATTAAACTCTAGAGTATGTCTACCCTAAGTTAAGAACCTCTGCTATAAACTAAAGAACACTGATACAAAAGTTTTAAATAAAAATTAGGAAGTAGGAAACAATATCTGAGGAAGAATATACACTATGACCATTATAGATTTATACTGGAAATGTAAAGCTGGCTCAAAAAATAAAAATATAAACATGACAAACTTACAAAGAATAAAAAACACTTGATTATACCAACACATTTTGAAAAAAACCTTTTTTTTGGGGGGGAGGCACTAGGCAATGGGGTTAAGTGACTTGCCCAGGGTCACACAGCCAGTAAATGTTATGTGTCTGAGGCCGGATTTGAATTCAGGTTCTCCTGAATCCAGGGCCAGTCGGTACTCTATCCACTTTACCACCTAGCTGCCCCTTGAAAAAAACGTTTGACAAAATCCAATAGCCATTTCTGTTAAAAAACAAACAAACTAGAAAACACAAGTATAAAGGTACTTTTCCTTTGTACTGTAACAAAATCTATCTAAAACCAAAAGTAAACATTATATATAATGAACAAAAGTTAGAGACTTTTCCAAAAGGACTAAGGTAAAGTAAGGATGCCATTATCACACGACTACCACTTAACACAGTGCTTGGAATACAGTACGTACTTAATAAATTATCCTTGAATTACTAGAAATGCAAGCTACAGAAATAAGATAAGAAAAAGAAATTGAGGGAAAAAGCACAAGTAAAGAGGAAACAAAATTATCAATTCTTGCAGCAAGAAGATAATAATGAGAAACTGAAGGAATAAGCATAAGTAAAAAAGGGGAAGCTAGGTGGTCCAGCAGATAGAGCACCAGGCCTGGAGTCACAAGGACCAGAGTTCAAATTCAGCCTTAGGCCAGATATCTGACTAGCTGTGTGACTCTGGGCAAGTCACTTAACCTCAATTGCCTCACCCCAGAAAAAAAAAAGGCATAAGTAAAAAAAAAACAATAAGCTCTCTGAAAATTAGAATGGAATAGAAGTAACCAGTAATTCCATAAGACAATATTAAAACAAAGTCAAAAGACTGAAAAAAATAGAAAATGTATCTTATAGCAAAAATAACTGACCTCGGAAACAGATCAAAGAGAAAAAAATTCAAGAATCATTGGACTATATGTATACCAAAAAACCCTAGCTAGACACCATAATTCAAGAAATCTTAAAAGAAAACTTCCCAGATCTCAGAACCAGAATGCAAAGTGGAAATAGAAAAAATCCTCTGGTCACCTCCTAGAAG